AGAGAGTTACTTCATAGAAGGGTTGATCAGCCATTGTCTGCTTCCACACTGTACACTGGGCACCCTTTGGTGCTGACATTGCATTTCCAAAACCTTAGGATTCACAATAGCTTTTGTTGATCTACTTGGAATTCATGTTTTCTGTTGTCTTGTGTGCAGAAGGCTGCTATAAAGACTTAAGTTGATGACAGTGATTCTCCTTCTGTTTTGAGAGAGTTAGGTTTGGTTTTGAGTGGACTGAGCACAAGGACCAGCTTTTCAGAGTGCACTAAGCTCCCAAAAATTGTCCTGGGCATTCAAGAGCATTAAGCAGGTACGAAAATGTGTTTGTGCTTGTCCCAGACCTCTTGAACCTCTGGTTAGGCTAAAGTAATGCACAAGGTAAGAAAATACCAGTCAGAAGGGTAGGATACACTGACAGCTGCTGCAAAGATTTACTCTGGTCTCACCCTGTAGTGGAAGGTGGAGGAAAGCAAAGGAGAAAGTAATTGCTCTTTTATTATTTTTTAGGGCATAAACAGTTTTTAATTTGGCTATTTAACAGTATTGCTTTATCTTTCCATCAAATTAAGAGTCTGTCCAGTCATCTGTTATGAGAAACATTGATGTGAGAGAGAAGTAATTAATCAACTTCAAGCGATCTGTCTTCATCAGACATTTAACTAGGTTGTTGTAAAATACGTAAAAATACTAAGTGTAAGAGGAAAGTTTAGCTACATCACTCTTCAAGTTGATGTTTTTGTGGAAGGGGAAAGACTTTGTAGTCTGAAAACCATCTATTGTTTTTTGTGAAATGAAGTTCATCTCGTTTTAAGTAAACAATAAAGGTCGTAGAGTGTTTAAATATGTACATAAGGTGCTTGGTTAGGAATAAAGCAGAACCTGCAGCTCCCTGTTCAACGGTTACATGCACTTTTGGCAAGGAAAGCTGCTTAGGTGCTAGCAATCAGCCCTGAGTTAACTGCAAAGTATGGCAGGAATGCAGCTGCTAAGGTAATTTTTTTCAGGAAAGATCGGATTTTTTTCTCTCGTTATCCTTCCTTGTATAATTTGTATATTTGCGTGATCTTCCTTTACAATAATGTCAGATATGTATATTTCTTTCTCAATTATTTCCTGTGTATAAAATGATTCACTGTAATTCTATGCGAGTCTTGTTTTGTTCAATTTTGTAATTCTAATGTTTAAAATAAAAGTTAATTTTTTTTATTAGATCAAGGGAATACAGAGAAAATATTTCAACTATGCCAACTTGACTGTGAATTAGCATTCTCCACTTAAATGGGAATGGTTAAATTTTTGCATTGCATGGTTTAGACTTTTTGTTAAGATACTTGTCAGTTGTAATGTGGATACTAACCCACAGTATCTGAAATTACGAGCTATGTTGAGTTGGATCCATTAAACTCCCACAGGAAACCAGGGTTTCTGTGTAAGACTGGTGCAGGCTGAGGTGTCTTTGAATTGTTCATCTGGTCTCATTTTTCACTGGCTCACTGGTGTACCCTTTGGTACACCTGCCATGCCATGTGTCTCAGAGGTTCTACAACATTTATGCAATGGTCAAAACACTCAGTATAACACAAAAACCTCTACACCCTCATGACTGCTAATAGTGAGTTTTACCTTCTACTAGTGGTTCTCCTTCTCTCTCTTTCTCTCTCCTCTGAGGGCTGCCTTGCCTAATTTTGTCCACTGTGAATGTTCTGTGTAAACAAACTGCTCTCTTCCTTCCCCCCAGCAGCATGTGATTTACCTCTCCTTGTCATACCCTCCTGGACTCATATAATTAATTAAAGGGTGGTTTTACATAACTGACTGTAGTGTTTATGCTGCTATTAAGTTTATTGCAATAGCATCTGCTGCCTATTAATGTGAAGAATGGCAAACAGAATATTTGGCTTAGTGGATAGTGAAAGGGAAGGATGAAAACTACAATAGTCATCAGCATTCCAAAACACATCAGATGGCTCATACAGAGAACAGATTTTACTTCTAGCAGCAGGTTTTAGAGAGAAGCGGTGGATTGGATTTCTGCAAATTATCACTGCTAGCAGTTTATAGTAGGGCAGGTTACCAGTGTTGTGCAACTGCCATAATTTAATTTTCTGATGCTGTATGTTCTAGAATACAGCTCAGCAATTGTATGCAGAGTGGAGGAAGCTTAAACTGGCTGCTGAGATATTTTTTAGCTGAGGACTGAGTCCTGCTGCAGAAAGCATTGCTTTCCTTGCAGTCCCTCCCTTTTCCTTTTTCAATCTGCATTAAGATCCAGTCCAATGGTGAAATCAGCATGTGTTCTTGCATCAGTTTCTTTGGGCCTAGAGTTTCCCTGGCTGCCATTCTCATCCAGAGGGTCATGCCATCTGTAGGTATATTGCCTCCTTTCCTCTCTCTTTATTTTCCCAAGTTTGACATAACTGTCCACACACCAGTTTTAAATTTGCCAGGTATTTTAAAAAAAAATTACCAAAACAGATTTTTCTATTCAGAAGTTAATTTTTATAGTATTCTTGCTGAGGCAAGAATGTTCTAAAGTGGAGCATGAACGTTGTTTGTTCCAGTGGTCTGGTTATGTTGTTACATGAATTCAGATGATTAGAAGACAGAAAATTGTGTGCCATAAAGCCTGTTGGCACTCTTGTAGCCAGTACTGCAAGACTGAATGTGTGGGGGAAAAGAAAAGAATAATCCCCTGGACACCTCCCTGGTGCTGAGGTACACAACTGTTCTGCTGTGCTGGCCTCTGACACTGATCCCATTATCGATGTAATCCCAGGCAAGAGCAAAATGAGAGACAAGAGTTGTACAAAATGCCCTCTGACATCTCAGGAACACAGCTACATGAATGAGAAATGGCTACAGGTCTGCAAATCTACATGTATGTGTAATGGCAATGTACCATAGCATGACACTAAAGGTAACTTTGTGAATCTTATTTTTACCTACGGTTGCTTTCTCTGGTGAGTAGATATGTTTATTTCTACTGGTGTTAGCAATCCTTTGTGGGAAAGCAAAGTGGCTTCTATTCTGGTTTCAACGTTGCCCAAGAAACTGCTTGCTAATTTTGTTTTAAGTAGCATACAAATAGAGTAATTGCAGATCATCTTTCAATTCCAGGGCAGAGAAGTGACTTTTTTTTCAGAATCTGTTAAATCTACTGTGAGATGAAAAATGTGGAACAGGCACAGTAAGATGTACTGAAAGGCTTAAATGTACATGTTAAAAATGTGCATGCAAAGTTGAAATTTGTTAGTAAGGCTTTAAAAAAAAGACACTGTCTGTTTCTTAAACCTACCAAATAAAAATGAGTTTTAGTTCTGTAGTGGAAGTGTCTTCACCTTCTGTCTGTTCTTTTGAGAAGGAGAGTTCCTGTCTGCACAGCCATTCAGAGCTGCCATGGAAAGGAGTTTTCTTCGTGAAACACGTTGTTTTCCATGTTGTAATTAGTGTAAGTGTGTATACAAGCTCTTCAGAAGGCTGGTCTGTGCTCATGGAGACCCGGTTTTTGCTTTTAGCTCTCACATTCCTGAGAGTTTCACACATTCATCCCAAGGCGGTGACTGATGGCTGCTTTGCCTCAGCAATGACTGTCTCTGTGAGCTATTGCAGTTAATATTTCTTCCCTAATAAGTTGAAAGCAGGTAACAGTTGTGACCCAAGCTCTTTGTCAGAACAAGAGTCTGTGAATTGTCCTGGTGAGGAACTGAAAAGGAAAGAGATGGTATGTGAAATTTGGAAAGTAGCTAACTCAAATAATTTTTGTTCTTCAAAAGTGAAGTACAGTAGTGTACTGCAAGTACTGCTTGCACAAAGAATGGACAAAAGCAGATTTCTTTGCTGTATATTGAAAGCCTGTCATTTTTTCTTTTCTTTTTACTCTCTTGGAAACCAAGTCAATTTGATAGCTGGGGAATCTGAAGAAAAAGAGAATAGTTTCAGAGTTCTTATTCTGTACTGCTGCGTCCATCAGAGGAGTAAAACATTATTGTTAGTTTTTATATATTAACCCTAGTTGCATTTAGTGTGACAGCATTTAAAATTCATGAGATGAGGAACAATGCTTACAAGTTCTTTAGTCTTCTTAAGGCACTGGGCAGAAGCTTTCATTTGAACACATGAAAAATCAGTGGGCAGGCGATGGCAGGACGTGCGCTGTTTTATTCCCCTATCCTGAGGTGCCACCAGCTTCCCTGGTGCTTGTCATTTGCAGTCTGTTCTATGTTGCCAAACCACGTAACAGAACATGGTCTCTGCTGTTGAGTCAGCTGTGCCCCAGCAGCTGATGCTGTGTCTGTGCATATACTCAAGGGGTAGGTAGGCTCCAGGAAAAAATGTTACTGGGCCTCTGAAGAAGGAATCTAGAGAAGGGATTGAGAGACCTGTGTTCCCATCCCAACTCTGATGATAGATGTAGGCTGATGTGATGCCTTTTTGCTTTGGTTTCTCTTGTGGTGGAATGATGGCAAAGATGTTTACCCTCCATGGTAGAAATGGCTGGAGTGCTGTAGGAGGACTTTATCTACAGAAAGAACCTTTATTCCCATGTTCTTGTGTCTCGGTATGTTAGGTTTTTGTATTTAGATCTGAGAAAATCCCTTTGTACTTGCAACTTTCTTTGGATGGGTGGACTGTGGGAGGGAATGGAAGGACAGAAACATTCTTTAAAAAGCTGCTAATTAAATATTTGGAATAGGAATCTGTTTTGTATTGCTAGGTAAATTGTGCCATTTCTTGGTTAGAGATTCAGTGGCTAATGCTGCAGGTTATCAAATAGATTGAATATAAAGGGTAAAATCTAGCTTCAAGGCTAACCACTTTGAACAGATTACAGCAGTTGTCAGGGGTGTCATATGCTGAGCTATTCCCACTGAAGCCAATAGGGGTTATGGAAATCACCATAGTGGTCAGTTGCAAAATATTTACTGCAACACAGTAGAAAAAGTAAAGAGTTCATGTAAAGTGATTTTAGTTTACATTGTGGTTTCTTCCTTTTGCAGGTGAAGAGTCTGCGTTTTGCTCATCTGGCTTTCTGCAGGAAAAACAATGTGAGTTGAAGGTGTTCTCATTTTTCTTTGTACTGAGGCTGTTCAGTAACTAGAGATAGTAATAGAGTAGACTTGTTAACCAAGTGATCTGTTACCTTGAGAAGAAAAATGCATGTGGAGGGACTAGGATTCTTTTAAGTTTTATTTTAAATTTAATTATTTTCAATATGGATTATGAAAATGTACCAAAAAAGTGCCTCTGACATTATTTAGCACATTAGTACCTTATAGTATTGGCTGGAGTGGCAGAAGTAGAGCGCTGGAGGGCGAAGCTGCTGTTGTACGCAATAACTCATACAGGACAGTACAACATGACTGGATTTGGAGTGTAGGAGCCTTCAGTGCTTTGTTCTCTGGACTTCTTTCTCCTGTCTCTGCTTAAGGAGGTGCAAGAAGTGTTGCTGTTAAAATTTCTGAGTGCTATAGGAGTAAAAAGTAGTGCCAAGCCTGGTGTTGCTAGGGTTCCTTTGCTACTGGTGCCAAGCTTCAGGGAGTCTATTTACATGTGGCTCTGCTGTTGGTCTTTCTGTGCTTTTGCATTGCTTGCTAAAGAGCAGGAATTGACTTACAGAAATGCATGGCGTTAATGTTCATCACAGTTCTCTCTGGGAACAATTGTCCATTGCCTTCCTGGAGTTCAGTCTGTTCTTTATTCCTGCAGCTGTGTTTATAAGCACATGCTGTCACTCTGTGCCAACCCCTTCCCTTTTGGAAATCATATTTTTCCCATCTGGCTTGGTCTGATAAGTGGAGCTGGGGAGCACTTGGAGTTAAGATCCTTGGCTAACCCTGTGTGTTTCTTCTTCTCCAGTGCTCTGTAGTAGTCATGTACAAGATCTGGTAGTGTATGTGTGTAAGACTCATTCAGTGCAGAAGTCATGGAAGTTAACATAGGCACCATCTTATGTTGTGGCTTCCAGAGCAGGATTGGGCTCAGTGACACGTGCCATTATTTTCCTCTAAACAGTGTATCTGCATCTGCAGTGTATTACGGGATTCTTTGTCATTTGTTAATAGAAAACATATGTCACAGCCTTCATGTGAACATATTTCTTATGACGGATTTATCATTATGAATGACTAGTAATAGCACAGCAGATGGCAGGAACAGCATCATTTCTCATGGGAGCGCAATCATGGGAATAGCAGTTTTCTTTTGGGACTATCAGCACCTTATGCTTTGTAGCTAAAGCAAGTTCTTTTTTTTTTTTAATTTTAAATTTTTCCCTAATTAACATGACAAAACATTAGGGATATTTGAAATGGTCTGTGGGGGGGAAAAAAAAGAGGACCTGGCTTGATTCTTAGTATGGATTTGAATTGTACCTCATGATCTCAGAAGTTTGGGAATGATCATATGAATTCTATTCTCTTAGATTCAGGGGACTCACTTACTTTTTTGGTTGTGTATTGAACTGATCCCTTTCATGGCTGCTTTGGGGTCTTGAATCACTGTCCAAACTCTTCCTTTCACCTCGCTCTCCTCTCGTGCTGATCTTGAGATCTGATGCACTCCACATGAGGAGACTGTTTGAGCCATGAGTTATTCAGGCGAGGCTGTAGACACACAGCTTGCTTGGTGCCTAAGTCACTGGTGAATGCTTATATGTGTGTGTATAAATACATACTTACGTAGCAATTCCGGTGGCAATTTGAGTCTAAAACAATCCCTGCCAGATACACTGGCTTGGTGGTATCTGCGTAGCAGTGTGTGTTTCTGTCTGCAGAAATACTTGAATAGATCTCTTCCCTTGTCATAAATTAGTTGGCTTAGATGATAGCCACTGTTCCTGGCTGTTGACTCCTAGACTGAAAAGCAGTTTCTGTATTGGGGTTGCATTTAATTTAGGATTGTATGCTGTCATCCTTATAGTTCAGCATCTGATAAGCAATAGGCAAGTGTTACTTTCTGGTTTTACTCACCTATTTCATGTTAATTCGTTTTGATACCACATGTTGCTAAGAGCCATTTAACTACATAGTATGGTTCGCAGTGAGCTGATACATAGTCCTAACAAAAAATGCTCAGTAGTTCCTGCTGTTTTTTTATAATGCAACCTTATGTTTTAAATGGCATCAATTGATAATCTCCCAAAAAATGGAACTTATAAATTTCATACTGTTGACGTAGCTTTTTAATAATGAGATCAGCATTAAATCGCAGAGAGTTCCAGAAAGCAATTGCATTTAGTGGAAGCTCAGGGTTTATGGGTATATGATGTCTCTGTTGGATTTGCTTTCTGGTATTTTGTTTTTTGTTGTGGTACCCTTTTATTTTATACAAGTATTGAATGACTAATACCTTAAATCCTTGCTTGTCAGAAAGGCAATTTTAAATATGGAGAAATGTAGACACAGAGGCTAAATAAATTTCCAGTGACTCTTAAGGAATGATGTTGGTAGAACCTGCTCCTAATGCAGAAGAGAAGAGTGTTGAGAATTTGTTTTGGACTAATTTCAGTGCTTTTAGAATAACCTGACCAGACCTTGCTTAAGCAATGTTCTTGGTGAACACTGTCTTAGGGTCTGACAGACTGCCTGTAAACAAATGGAGTGAAACCACAAAGAGGATATGAACTCCAAATGCCAAGAAAAAGTAAACTGAGTCATCTATAGCATTGTGCGGTGTATTTGTTTTCTTCTGGCACGCTGGAAGAAACAGAGGAAAAGGTGTCTAGATCCCAAAAGCTGTCCGTTATCTACTTTGTATTATTATTTAGTACAATCTTCTCTCTTTAGCTCCTAAAACTTGTATCTGTCATAGAGGGAGGAAGGCCTCACAATTTCTCTAGGAACAACTAATCTTTGTGAGATGAGTGGAATTTTAGGGCTGCAACACTGCAGTCAGCTGAAATTTTAAATTACAAATTTCTGCTATTGTGATTCAGGATGGTTTCAAACCCTTCCTCTTCCCCACATGAGAGGGAGGAGGAATTGTTACAGGGATAGAATTCGCATCTTGTCTGGAATTCCGTCAGTTGACAGAAGAGTAAAGCACATTTGCCCTCCCCAAGGAACTGACCACCGCAACATTTGCTAATCAAATTTCATCTTACAGCTGTTTCCCAGGTAACATGCAGCGGTAGAAAAAAATACTGCATTATGAGGAGATCAGAAAGAGCCTGTAGTGGTTCTCTTCAATGACTGAAAAAACACAGTGCAAAACAGAAAAAGTGGATAGTGCTATATCAACTTCTTTTCTGTCCTTATGCACAGAGAAGATTTGTTCAGAGGGCAAGCCTTTTCATAGCCAGTTATATAAGTTATAGAATAGAATATTTTCAAGTGGAAGGAACCTACAATGATCTTGTCCAACTGCCTGACCACTTCACAGCTGACCAAAAGTAAAGGCATATTATTAAGATTATGGTCTAAAAGCCTCTTAAACACCAACAGGCTTGGGGCATTGACACCTCTCTAGGAAGCCTGTTCCAGTGTTTGACCACGCTCTCTGCAAAGAAAAGCTTCCTAAGTTTTGTTTCCCGAGGCAAGACAGTGGAAAATCTCATGGTCTTAAAGCTGATATCAGGAGTGTTCCACTGCTTAGAGCAGGCTGCTGCCCAGCCAGTCTGCCCAAAGAGCAGACAGGTGGGCCTTTTGGTCTGTTTGGTCATGTTCTGAAGTCAAGGCAGAGACTTTCATTGTTGTTGTTTCATTTTCATTGTTGTGTTTATAATTGAGGACTTGCAGGCGTGATCCTGTTGTGAAATGGTATTAGCAAAGAAATGTGTTTTTCTCTGCAATATCACTTCCTATTTTTCAGGTTACAGGACTTTTTGAGGAGAAATTGTCTTTTGCTCTATGGTCTGTTACTTCTATTTTGCATCATGGTAATGGAGCACTGCAGTTACTTAATCGAGTTGCCTAGGTAGTCACAGAGGTTTGTGGAAGAACTGCATCCTGAAAGTCTTAATTCACTTGCCTATATATAGGAGTTTAGTGATATTTAAGACATATCAGAGTACCTAAGATACCTGTATGGGATGAGCAGAACCTCAGGTGACCTCTTCTACTACTGCTTCAGGAAGACACAGATCAACAGCAGCTGTACTGGTACTACACACCTCTGTATAAGGACCTGAATCCTGTTCTGAATGTTGCTGTTAAGAATAGAAGAGTCTCTAATATTGTGTATTTTTCTGTTTGTCCACAGGATTGCCTGTGAACTGAACTTTCTGTCTTGAAATTAGAAATGTGCCTTACACATAGTTGTCTGTAAAAGATGTGGTAGACAAATATTTATATGACCAATATGCCTCTTTTCCTTTCAGGTGAATTATATAGAGCCTCTTTAAGAAAACAAAGGTTCCCTGCACAAGGTAGTGTTGAAATACACGAGGACAATGAGGTAAGATTATTTCCTAAAACAAGCTGTGATTTCTAAAGAGAAGACATGTGGAATACTCTAATATTGTATTATGGAATTATAAACTCATTTGATGGCTTAGTGTGTCTTTCCCTTGTTCGGTAGGTGCACATGCAATCACTGAAAATCATCACAAGCTTTTTAGACACTGGAAATACTTAACTTAGGTGGAAATATGACCCAGTTCTCTGAAGAGAAATTGTTATATCTGCTTAGTACTTGAGTGGAAGTGCAGGTTCTTTGAAGCAGATTCAGCAGCACTCATGAAATTGATAATAACACAGTTGTCTTTTTTTAGAAGCAGGAAAGAATCTAAACAAGTTGTGGTCCTTCCAACAAACTGATTAAAGTCCTCTGTCCACACATAGGACAGGTAATGGAAATGTCCACTTTTACGTTTTTGAAGAATTCCACTCCTACTGAAAATTATGACAGTCGTTGATTGATTTCAATCCAGTTGACTAGCCCTTGAACCCCTTGTCTCAGTCATGACTGAGCTACTGCTGAGAGGCAAATTAATTTCATTCCATTTGAGTCTTCCTATGAAAGATACCAGTTAAATCCAACTGAGAGACCCATTTCGAAGTTTTCAGTTCCACCAACCCATCAGCAGTGCTGCTTATTTACAAGCAGGCATTGGTCGTGGAAGGAACTACTCTTACCTTTTAATGGGAACTAAATTGCTCTTCTGAATAACTGGAATGGAACCATATGGAGAGGGATGGAATAACTTACAATTCTTTCATTTTCAACCATATCTCTGTCACCATTATACAAGTGCTAAAGTTACCAATTTCTCTTCATTCCAGAACTTAAGAATAAAGTGTCCAGAACATTGCCTGATTCTCAGTGAATCACCCAATCTAGCAATTAACAGTCCTTAGACAAGTACAAGAAATAGTGCTGGTTTTTTAGTTGTGTGTTTGTATTTGGTCAGGAACTAGAAGTCTTCAGGAATCGTGTGATCCAAAGTGAAAAGAAAATGGTAGTCAAGATTTAAAAACAAAAAGTCTAATCTTTTAATATATTACTCAGTTCTTTGAATGCACATAACTCTCAGGGGATAAAGAGGAAAAAAAATGTGGAGTTGTGAGACATTCAAAATGCTTTTCCAGTCTTAAGTAGAAAATATCTTGTTTATTCTGTGAAGCTGGTTATTGTCTGTGCATATTCACATGTTCATAAATTTATTGGTGAGTTTTATGGATATAAGCAATGATAAATTTCTTTACTTTTCCAGTAAGTGTCTGGGTAAATTACCCCCATCTTTCGTTTTAATAAGAAGCTGCAGTCTTCAAGAAGCTGAGGTAGCTGTATCATCTGCTTCTGCTGGATGTTTTCACTGGCAGAGAAATTTGGCTTTTTAGAACCTTTGATGATTTGAATGAGAACCCTGCCAGTAAACGAAGCAATCGTTCAGGACACCTAGACAGATGATTGCTTAGACTGCCTGTGGAGGTTGAAATTCTTCTCCGGTCTCAGAGTATTTAAAGTAGCTTTTGATGTACACAAAGCTGCTTTAATCTTTGGTCTGAAACCTACATCTGTGCTGCAGGGTTTTTTTGTCAGAGCGTAGTGGGCTCTACATGGGTCAGACATACTTGAATTAAATGGAACGTGGGGCATGCACACACACCCCCCTTCCAGTGAAGGCAAATATCACAAAATGATCACAGTGGGGGTGGGAGAAAAAAAATCACTGCTAACGTTGACACCAGGTATACCAACAATGTCCATAAAAATGCTTCCTCCCTTTTTATTCCCTGTTTTTTTCACAGGAAGGAGTTCAACACCAGAACTGCAAAACTCATGTGTTAATTTTGATCCTACATGGAGGGAACATCTTAGACACTGGAGGTGGGGACCACAGCAGCAAGCTGGCAGACATCAACACCTTCAGTTCTGTGTTTGAGAAGGTTACCCGAGCCCATTTCCCTGCCTCTTTGGGTCATATCCTAATGAGACTTGTTCCCTGCCCAGCAATCTGTTCAGCAGCTTTCTCTCTTGTTTCCAAGTAAGTTGATTTAAATTTTCCTGATATTTGGCTTTGCATTGTGGTTTTGAATGGCTTTCTGTGACCTGTCTTTTTCATAATGAAGTGTTGCAAGTCCTTCTTAATCTTTTGCTGATTGCAAGACTTGGAATGATTTTTCATCCTTTTCTAAGTGGATGAATTTGTTTTAAAAACCACTTATTGTTGGATGTATCCATTTCAGTAGCTACTCTTCCTACATGCTTTTTCAGTCTTGGAATTCAGTCACTGAATGAGAGAACGTTTTCAGGTAACATTTCTTTCCTTAGAGATATTTTCCTTGACATAAATGCTTTCAATGGCATGATAGAGAAGGAAGAAAGAAACACATGCTCTTGGACTGCTTCAGCTCTTCTACAAGTGCAGACCAGAATTAACTGGTGAACTCTGGTGAGGGGAGGAGACAAACAGATTTTTCTGATTTCTATTTTTCTAAGCAGAAAGAAACTTCCCTTTGTTTTGTCTGGGACTTCCCAGTCCAAAAAACTACTTTTACAGTCTTTTTTGTTGCAGTATAGTGCCTAGGGTTACATTTGAAGCTCATGTAGAGCAGAAAACCCTGCAGAAGAGTTGAGGAGGTCTACAACCCTGTTTTGGGCCATAAGATCCAGGAATGGTGACGCCTGCTGTCCAGATGTCAGACTTAGATGGGAGAGGTGGAGAACACATTAAAGTTCTGAAATACTAGCTGGACTTAAAACTGTGACAGGCATATAGGAGGAAGAGGTGCCAGGATGCAGACCAGACTGGTGGAAGTTGTGCCTGACTGTTTGCATCAAGGGGGAGGGAATACACAGAAACAACCAGGAAAGAAGTGTGTGCATGTCCAAGGTGCTGCCCTGTAAAGCAAGAGAAATTATAGAAGAGGAGGTGAAACATCAAAGAGTGTTTGGAAGATCACCCTTGCCCATTTGGGCCATTGTTTAACAAGCTTTTTTTCCTCTTTACCCCTTGAGAGTTACATGCACTGAAAGAACTCAGTGTCCCTTTGTTATGTCGTAGTGCGGTGCCTGCAGGTCTCAGCTGTCTGGAGGAAAAGCTGCTGGAGCAGAAGGAAGAGTGCGTGCTGGCAGCCCAAATGAATACAACTTTGACTTTCTACCTCTGTTTCTTTATTTCCTCTTGTTGCAGCACACAGTATCCAACCAGAGTTAAAAACACCATCCTGGATGTTTGAATTTCCTATAGAATCATTCTGAGCACTGGCATAACATTGATATTGCAGTGGTATGTTCTTGTGTGGAGCTGCTTGACACGTACCCATTTGGGGCTGACAGAAGGAGAGATAATTCTCTGCTCTCACATTTCTGCAGCTTCATGCCAGCAGCTTTCATAGCCTGAACTCCAGAATGCAGTTGTGGAACATAAAGTTGTGGTAAACATTCCCTTTAGCAAACTGTGGTGGAGGAAGAGTAGTTTTAATTACTGTAGTCTTTCACTGAGGATGAGCCAGATGACTGACTAAGCAGCAATACAAGATTTCTTTTTTGTTTTGAATGTGGCCTCCGTTTTCTGAAGATGCACTGTGAGTGTGTTCCAAGGTAGTACAGCCTGGTGTTTACCTTGGCATAGGTTTTTAATTATGCTGTGCCTGTGTGCAGAGTGCCCAGGTTCAGAGGGATTCTACTGGAAGTTTTTATGTGAATGTACCTATGCAGTTTTCTCTGCCTTGCAAATAGTGGCTTAAAGGAAAGGGATCTTTCAGGGCAAAATCATTCCATGTAGTAAATGTTTTGGATTGTTTAAACTGGTCTTTTCCCATCTACTCCCGTCATTTCAGTTTCCTCTGTCTCTCATATAAATCAAAAACACGTTCTTTATGTAACCTGTGTAAATTTAAAATGACTCTATCTTTGTGGCTAAGAACAAAAAGAGTTTAAAACTAAGGCACATTCTTGTTCCAGATAGATGACTTTCAAGCCATTTCTTCCCTTTTCAGGGAGAAAAATATGCCGGAGTGGATCAACTGTTATGCTTTTTATAGCATATGGTTTGATGAGCATACATTGATTCACACCTCAGAGTAAAGCTTCTGAATTATAGAATAATCAGCCAAACTGGAGGATAATCATTGCAAATTTAGAGGGAATGGGAAGGAGAGAGAAGGAAAAAAAGGCCAAAACAAAACATGTTTAGGAAGCAAACACTTTGATGCTTTTCTTTCTTTTTTTTTTTTTTATCCTGAAAACAGTGGAAGTAAATACGTATTCTGGCATTCAGAAACAGCAATAGCAAGTCTCTAGGACTGTCAGCATGGAATGCAGATAACCGAAGCATAATTGGAAAAAAAATGTTGTGCGATAGTTATCCAAACAAATGTTACCATATGATGATTTCCCTCTCTGCTTTCTCCTGTTTGTCTCAGCTTCAGCACTGATACTCAGCATGTCCCCTCTGACAAACAACTTCATCTCTTCCATACACTCTTTCAGTGGTCTGGATGTTTCTTCCCTTTGTGTTGTGTCTGCTATAACAATGGAGGTCTCTGTGGCTAAAGATTTACAATAAAATACATTGGAATTAAAAAAACCACACCCTCATTTCTAAGCCAGGTAGCGGTGATTAATTGCCTTGACAATAATTGTTCTATTTCAGTTTGATCTATATTGCTTTAGCTATGGGGGAAAAAAACCAATAAATTGCCAGCTGTTTGCTTTTCCATCAGCTCTGGTTTGTATGGTTCTCTTTTGAATATTGTTCGCATTTTATTTTTATTATAAAAACATATGCAGGTATATTTTTCCATTTCAAACATTCATTTAATAAACTTTTTTTCCTCATGTGTTTGTCCCTTTCCCTTTCTGAGGTGTTATCTGCCAATTTTATTAGTAAATGAAACTTTTTTTGTGGGTTTTGAAGATGCAGTTTTAATTTCTGAGAATTAGTATTCATAACTGTATATCTGCTGTGCATTTGGATGATCTAATCAGCTGGTAGAATGAAGCCGTGTTAATTGACAGAGCTTGGCAGACCAACTGAGCACAAGGACATAGAAACTATTATACTACTTTGGATGAAAAATACCAAATCACTGGAGTGCTTCAGGCAGAGGCAAGTGTGGAAAAGCCCAGTGAGGCTCGGGACATGAACACACACCAGCAAATCTTCTGTTCTTCCTCTATTACCTTGGTAATAGTCTCAAGGATGGGAGTTTTAGCAAAGACACAGACTAAATACATTTCAGGCAGCTTGCTTTTAAATATTGTGATAACCCACCAAGTTCCCAAAGAAAGTGAATACAAAATACTGTTCAAGTTGCCTGTCTGTGGCTTTGGATGAACTTCGGATGTGCTAAATTATCCAAAATACTTCTGACTTTCCTTTAACCTCTAAAGGACAGTCAACTTACTCTAAGAGAATCTGGCACACACTGACGTGCCTTCCAGCTTTAGCTCTCTGTGAGTTGTCTTCTCCACTCATCAGTAAAAATCAGTCAAGACATAATCGGCAAATTTACTGAGAAACTTGCAGGGTGCACATCCAAGCTAAAGTAAAGCTGCTGTTCTTCAAATTTGAGCTTCTGTTTTTGATTGGGTCACCTTCTGTTTGCCAGGTGTTACTGTGCAAACGTTTGCTGTGATTTCAGAATGTGTGCAACTTTCTTTCATCTTTTTGAAAACATGGGTCACTGGGAAAAATGTCTTTATGTGCTTTTGAACAGTACACCTGATGCAGTTGTGTTCTAGGAAACAATATTCCATTGTGATGGTTGGATCCTGCTCTCTGATGTAGTAAGTTGTTATATGGGGGGAAAAAAAGGCTGAAATGTAATCATGTCGTTGCCATTCTAAATTATGTCTACTTGTATGTGGCACAGTAGTATCAAGTAGTTTAACTACAGAAAGGCCTTCTAGTGTAATCTCATTCAACTAAAGCAGTAACTCCTTGATTTTTTTAAGCAGTTGAATTCTGTGAGAAAATGATCCTTCCTTTGTTCTCTCATTGTGAACTGCAGTAGCCCAACCCATTTCTGTTAATTACCATTCTCTAATACTGTGTGCTGGCTCTTGCAGTTTTCCTGATAATAACATGTCTTTCTCTAGCCTAAATCCCTACAGCTATGATGAGAGCTGTCTCAGCAGCAGTGAAGACCACATCCCACTGGCTGCCTTGCCTTTGCTGGCTGTTTCATCCCCTCAGTACCAGGATGCCGTTGCCATGGTGATCAGCAGAGCCAATCAAGTTTACAACGAGTTTCTCAAATCTACAGATGGGGCTGGTTTTAATGGACAGGTAGGACTGTTTTCTCTTAGATCGAATGAAAATTCCTTCAGAGCAAGGCTGTTTCTTTTTAAGCCATTGTATTGAGGGTTTTGAGTTATGTGTGTGAGATAATGCTGCAAATATGATGAATGAAAGTTAGCATGGGATCATCTATTCAAAATACCTTCTCAGTGCCCAGCACAAGAAAGACACTTCTGGAATCCTGTGCACTATCTAACGTGGATTTACGCAGCCGGTAGAAGATTATATACCTTTCCCCACAAGCATTTTGACCTCTAAGCTCTTACTAAGTATTGCTATGGCGTGGTAAGTGGGATATGCTGAGCAGTGAACAAGCATGGCAGCCCAAGACAGATGATAATCTGTGTTAATGAGTTCTTCACACATCTGCTATAGCTGATGAAAAAATTGGGGGACCTTTAAGATCATAAGAAGTCCAACATTTAACTATTGTTACTTCTTTTTTTGCCTCCATCACAGTAGTAATAAAAAAAAAATTCACAGTAGAGAAACATGGAAGACAAATACTCAGTTGCCAGCAGCATTGCATATTTCCTGTATAACTCTGAGGGAAGTCATGCAGTTTTTCTGTTGCAACCCACACACCAGTGAAGTCACCCAGAGGTTTCTTCTGACTGACACGTCAGTTGCTGTTCCTGCTTCGCCATCTTTAGACTACAAAAAAGTACTTTCCCACTTCACGTAGGAATACGATATTGATACTGTGTAAATTACTGAAATTATTTTGCACTGGGACCATCTACATAGCCAGAAATGTGCACTTAAGTGCAGTGACCTTCACACTACAGAAAAAGAAAGAAAATACATTTAATATATAGAGTACAGTGTAACCTTTGAAGAAAAGCATGTGTCTTATTACACAAACAAATTCTTTTCCATAGCAGTAATAAGATTATGCTGTGACATATCAGTATTTTTAGACTAAAATTTGGTTTGAAGCCAGTTTTACCATACATAGGAAACTGTTCTTGTTGGAAGCATAAAAACAGCCCAACTACAGTGATAAAACATTATGAAAGGTGTAATTATGTAAAGAAGCATTATACCAGTTACAGAATAATATGAAAATAATTTTCTCAATAGAAATTTTTAGTGTTATGGGTTTTTTTCTTTTACAAAGCCACAAAGAAGCCTCCTTGGTGTGTTTTATGAATCAGATATATTACTTCATGTGGAAGAGTGTGCTTGATCTCTGTATGCTCCACAGAATTTTCACCACCAACAATTACCAGCACTGTTGAAACGGAAGTGACTCCTCTGTGCTCTCTACAGTGCTTTGCTTTTTTCCTTAGACAGAAATTTCAACTCTGCCTCCAAATAAGTCCTGTACTTATCAAATATATATCATATATCCTGACACCCACCCTGTGTGTGTCTTTCATGTCATATTTTGGTCTCTTCTGTCTATTTATGTAGCAAGTTCATTAGAGCAGAGATTTCCTTTTTGGTTTTATTCAGTATCTGGAACAAGTTAACTCCATTACCTTAATGCCAATAATAGTAAGGATTAGAAATGCCTTGTTAAATTGAAGAAGTTATTGCCAATTCCCTACAAAATATGGTGTTAATTTTATTAAGGTTACTTGTGTCATACGATTTTCAGTTCTTTGTGGACTTCATTGTGCAGCATAGGAATTTGAAAATCAGAGAGTAAATTAGCATACTGTTCAATTATATACAACTTTAGAATCAGAAATGTCTTAGGATAGATGGTACTTTAGTTTATTTTGATATTTTATTTTTCAAAATGTTTTTTATAATTTTAATTGAGTACAAGAGATGTACTCAATTCAGGAAGAGTGCCACATGGAGATGCACTGAGATAAGTTTGAGGTTTTTCCCTACCTGCATCTTGAAGAACTTGCTTTTCTTAACATCTTCACTTGGAAGAAAGCGTACACAACATCCTGTATCCAAAACTTACAGTTTTGTGTTGTAGCCACGCTGAATTAAGGTTAGAAGTGAGTTAAGGAAACTAATAGGAGTTGGGAATAACAGACTAGACGATGGCTTCAGTTTGAGAATTGGAGAGAGGGGCTTTGCTGGAGCCTGGTGTCAAGCTAGTGCTCATGCTCAGACACAGACAGGGGAACAGGGAGCAAGAATCATCTCCTGTGGGTTGGGGAGGTGTTCAGTGGAATTAGGGAAGGTTCTAGTGTGCCATAAAATTATTCCAACTATTGGATTCCCTATTTTAGTAGTCTATGCTTTTTTAATTGCCAGGTCCATACTTTGAAGGTAGCTTCTACATGTATATTAAATGGGAAGCAAGAGTGAATCTCTTTGCTTAATACCTGATTTTAAAGTTCCGTTCCCTTGTCCTGACAGGAGAGTACCAGTCTGTCATCCCTCTATGACTCTGAAGGAAATGTTAAGTGACTGGAAATCTTTGTGTCACCAGTCATCTGGTGATACGAACTTTTTGAGCTGGAATCTGGCTACAAGTAGCTGTAAGAGTTCTAATCCATCTGGCAGAACTCTTACTGGTCAAAATAGTCCCTGGACAGATATTCTTGGCATAGGGCATATTTCTGGAGATAAAAGGAAGTGGAAGAAAGTGGCTACACAGTTTTAGCTGCAATAGGAACCAAGGGTGTAAAAACCAGTAATGAGGGTGTGAAGTAAGACAGGAACTCCTCTGCAGTGCTGTGATGCTTTTTGTTTCTTTTAAAACACTTGCTACATGTCTCTTTCTGTTTTCTCAGGTGTGTCTCATAGGTGACTGCATTGGAGGAATTTTGGGCTTTGATGCCATCTGCTATAATTCTAATACAGCTGATGAGAGTCGAAACAGTAGCAGGAGAGGAAGCATCAGCAGCATCCAGGTGAAGAGAAAAAATCCACACGGCTGAAATCCTATAGATTGATACCCTAGAGAAAATTAATTCCATATAAGACAGAGAAAAATTAAGGATTTGGTAAATTACCATGATAGAATGGGATTTTGTTCATGTATCAAAAATTTGCAGTTGTCAGCTTCAATTTTATGATATCAGAAATCAGTAGTGAAGGCTTTATCTGTAAACCTTTAAAATAGGGTTACCAAGTGCCCTTTATAGTATCCCTAACTGTAGATGCAAACATGTCCTGTCTCAGTAATCTCTGTTAGGCTCCTATTTTTTGTCAAAATATATTTTTTTAATTTTTTTTTTTTGTTCACATATGGTCTGGAATTCATTATGCTAGTACCTGGGGGTAGTCTAGCATTAAGATGTGTTACAAATAAGTTTTAGTGACTGGTAAAAGAATGCCTCTTTCTTCATAAGGATTGCAAGTCACCTGAGGATCTGTGAATGGACCACTGAGTGTCTATACAAGTGCTGCATTTGCAGAGAAGGGAGGAGTAATCCTACCTGTCATCCAGGAAAGATTTTATGATAGTAAAAGCAGAGGTTTTTAATGTGATGCTAGCACGTAAACTTAATTATTGTGTTTGACACTTAAGAAAGAAAACTGAAGTTCAGTCGATCTTATGTACTTCAGGCTCAAGTGCATATGGAGAGTGGGTGTGGTGAATTAGAGCTGACACTGTGTGAGGTGCCCATACTCTGTTCTTTGGCTTTGTGACTATGGCAAAATTGTTTCATCTCTTGAGTTACCTCTCCTCAAAAATGGGCTCAATGACACTGACCTGCTTGGTTCAGTTGAGAACTATATGTGGTGTAAGTACTCTCAAGCAAAAGACATTGTCTAAATTTTTCCAGGAAGGAGAATTACTTACCATTAATAACATGGCTCTTGGGAATAAGACTAATTATTCACTTCTCACAGAAGGCAGAAGATCCTCTTGGCTGTTGAAGGCTATAGGTGGAACTGTGTGGAAAGGTTCACCTCATAGCTCATGTGTCCTATGAACTTGTTCTTTCTGCAGCTGGAGAGAAACAGATTCAATTAGCATGTTTTCCATAGTCTGTCTGCATGTCTTTGGCCAAGCCAGTTGATCTATTATGCCTCATCTGTAAGCTTTGTGCACTTTCTCCTCTATTTTGTCTAGTTGGAGTTGATACTTTTTGCAAGTTGCTTAAAAGTACTGAGCATGACAACGTATTTTGATTTGGGGTATTTGAGGTTATGGATTGTAAAGTGTTCCAATGACACTTCAGCGGTATAGTGCATAATGCTGTGTCCAGGAAGACAGGAGCAGGGAGCAGTGGTAGAGAAAATGTAAATGAGTGGTGGGAGAGAGATGTATGCAAGAAGGAAAAGAAAAACTTTGAATCCCGCTTTCTTGTACAATGCCTAGCCAATTTCCCAGTGATGTTCTCTAGGTTCATCTCACAGAGATCTAGTCCCTTGTCCTTTTAAAACTACTTATTCTTCCCTCAATGAATTTGTCTGTGCCTGCCCCTCCACTTTCTCTCATGAGGAAGTTGTAGACTGCAATAAGGTCTCCCCCTAGTCCCCTGTTCTCCAGACTAGGTGACCTCAGCTACTCCTTGGCTTCCCCTCAAGGCCTTCACCATCTTCATTGCCTTCCTTTGGACACTCTCTAACAGCTCAATATCTTTCTTATATTGTGATGACCAAAACTGCCCCAGTATTGCAGGTGAGGCTGCCCCAGGTCCGAGCAGAGCAGGACAATCCCCTCCCTGGCCTGGCCGGCAATGCTGGACCTGATACCCCCCAGGACACGGTTGACCCTCTTGGCTGTCGGGGCACTGCTGACTCATATTCCCCTTGCCATCGACCAGGACCCCCAGATTCCTTCCCACGGGGCTGTTCTCCAGCCTCTTGTTACCCAGGCTGTATGCACAGTCGTTATAGAGAACCAGACCTTGCTATGCCTTGTGCGCAGAGATCTCACGCATGGGTGGGGGGGTTCAGTCCAGTGACATTTGTTTTGAAAAGCATCATTTACACGGGCTGCTGAAATGGACTCAGGAATAAAAGTCTAGAAGTAATAGGGATATATCAGGGAGGATGCTGGTGCAAGCTGCAGAAGTGCTGGAGGAATAATAAAGAAATAAACAATAAACAATAAAGAAATAAATAACCTTGAAGATATGGTGGCACTGGTCTCTTGCATCCTGCAGAAGCTGACATTCTTAAAAAATCAGATCCCACATCCATGGAACATGATGAACAAGACCATTAATGTTGTAGTGGGCATTTTGTACACTTAGGTAAGACCCCTTCTGATTACCTTATGATATTTATAGTTCTCTAAGAGTGATGAAGTCATGAAGGATAAAGCTTTTTGTTACTCCTCCTTTCTGCCCCTCATGCCCCCGCCCCCCCAGTTCCTGATTCTCCTTCCAGCTTTTAGGCTATGCATCTTACAATGAAATTTAGTCTTCATCTCTTTCCTTCTACCACAAAGAGGAAGTCTAACCCTTTCCACCCTTTTTTGAATAAAGTGAGGTCAAATGTATAAATGCAGCCATTTCATATAAGCTCTGTCGTATTTTGGTGTCTTATCTAAATCTTCCTTTTGCTCTGTTCATTTTCTGAAGGATAATCCCCTCTTAGCAGAGGACTCCAGTCTGGGTGACAGCAAACACCTGAGCAAAAGCAATATTGACATCTCGGGAATCATGGAGGATGAGGAGCCAAGGCAGCCGTTGCCTCGGAAACAAAGTGACTCCTCCACCTATGACTGTGATGCTATAGCCCAGCATCATGCTCTCCTGTCTAGGTAACTGGTGTTCAATGACTGAGTAAAAGAAAGAGCCTTGCCATTGAATGGAGCCTGTCAGCACCAGAGCACAGAGTCATTGTTGCTGTTTGTGGTGTGTTTCTGGACGTTTGCTTGAAGTCCTTGTCTACCCCTCAGAAAAACCCCATGAATTTAGTGGATGTAGTATGAACTTACGCATGGAATGTTTTTTATTTAATCTTTATTCAGTTGTGAGAGTTTTGAATATGCAAAAATGAATGCACAAAGTTCTGTTTCTTCAGTGCAGCCCACTCAAATCAAGATGGAGGAATACTTTATAAGTGTAAATTTCTGTTACCTCTTTCTGTCTAAAGATCCCTCTGAATTCATTTTCAGGATTTTTATTATTCTATAAAGCTTGAGATAATTGCTTTAGGTGCTCTTTAGGTGGTCTATGAGCTATTCAGATCAGCTTTAAAACAACAACAAAAAAGCCCTGCATAAACATTTGGCTTAAATGAGGAGGGTGGGGGAGGAGAGTTAACTTAATTAGCTTTCCGTGATCTTAAGAAACCTTTGAAATACAGATTTGATGGGAACATAAGCATTTCCTTTGTCTTGTTGTTTCTGCCTGTTCTAAGATGTTTGGGGTTTTTTTAATCTGAATTATTTGGGCTTTTGCTTCCTCTATCCATCATCTTAGTTCCTTTATTTCATTGTGAGTTTTACTGTGTATTGAGTTTCAGTCCTGCTAGAGTTGACTATAGTGCAGACTTCCTACTGTGCTTTATTTCAAGTCAGGCAGTTTTCTTAGTAGCGGCTTAAGGTAATTTTATATTATTACTTTGACTCAATGCCCTTTGCTTTGTTTTTATTGACTATTCTGCTTTCATTTTCAAACCTTACATTTTCTGGGTATCCTTGTGTTGTAAAGTGTTTTCCCTCTGAGGCACAGTGGTGGTTTTTTGCTTGTCTATGGCTGAAAACATGAAGTTTTTTGGTCAGTCACTTTTAGGTTCTTGTATAGGAGAAGTACTGTGTTATATTTAAAGCACAATGTTGACTTGTATAAAGCACTTTGGACTTGAAGAATAATAGGATAATGGAAGGACAAAGATAACAGTTTTCTTCCAAACCTTTCATTTCCTCTGTGTCTATGATTTTAAACTGAAAGCTTTACATGAGCTGTACTTAACAAGCAGACAGAAGTGTTACCTTCCACTCTCATTTTGGACTCAAACTTCAGGCTGTTGCTAAGTTGTTGAGGAACAGTTGGACAAACATAGGCTAAAGACAGCAGAAAAAATTCCTTGGTAAGGTAAAGAGGGTGAAAAAAACAAATGAAATTAAACCATGTCATCCTCTGACCTACCCTGTACATAAAGAGAGGCTCCAAGCCTTTGCTTTCCTGTCTGTGGAACTTGCTTAAGATCATTGATACCTTTTTCCCCATTATCTCATTTACTGCAATTTAGCAGAGGCATATCAGTGATGAGGTTACAGAGATCACTCTTTCATCTTTACAGATGATCATTACAGAGATCATTCTTTTAAAGGTATGTTGTTGCCTTACACACTGTAATTGTGTTCCAGTGTCTCAGTTTGTGCTCTTCGTCCAAGTGCTTGTGGCATAGAGAGGTAACTACAAACTGCCATGCTGATGGATTTAATTCATGGCTTTCTTCACTTCTGCATTAAATGAAGCCCTAAGTTTGGTCCCCAGAGTTACAGTTAATAACGTTGGGTTATAAATTGAGAATGTCACTAGGGTCTCAGATTGAAAGAAGGTTTGGCCTGATTTGAGATCAATCTTCAGCATTTCTGGATTCTGATCCATACTTGACCACAGATACAGTGTGTAGTGTACACGTAACTCCTGAGCACTTCATTTACAGTTCTGATTGAAGTCAGCATGGTCAGTGTCTCTCAGTCAGGCTCTCCATGCTCTGGAGGCCTGTTCTACTCTGTCTCATGGCTGGACAGCAAGTGTACAGGCTACTTTTCTGCTTCTGAATGTAGATATTTCATCTCCAGCAGAACTAAATGATGGCAGTGTCTTTTCTCTGTCAGTGAGGGATAAGTGGTCTGTATTTACGTCATGTATGTATGGCATACAAAGTAAATGGAAGTGTTTAAATCACTCTAAAAGCTGTCTGGAAGTGTCACCTGTAACAAATAGTTGAAAAGTAGTGAAATTCTAGGTCATAGGTCAGGAAACAGATTGGAACAATGCTTTTTATGCACCCAAGTAACATACTTTGACTGTAACCTTCTAATACCATTGTCCTTACACAGCTAGAGTAGGTTAGAATTTGTATCAGAAGAGTCAGAATAAACTTGCATACATCTGTACTGCTAAAAGGGAGGGGAGGTAAGCTTCAGTCTTCTTAGTCCTTGCATAATTTACCAGTAAGTATTCTGTAGAATAACTGTAGAAAACTCTTGCATTTTGAAATTAGTAAGTCTGCTGAATAACCACACCGAAAAAATGGTAAGTGGCTGCTATGGTGCAATATTAGTCTACAGTTTCAAGGTGTATTGCTGGGATCTAAATACAGGTGCTAGAGCTTTCTAAACAGCATGTTTTGGGAATGCCCTCTTCATTATTGTTGATTCAGTACATTTTCTTTGCTCAGCATCCACTCAAGTGTGTTGAAAGATGGTGCAGACCTTCCTCCTGTGGATTCCAGTCTCTCAGAAGTAAACCTGGGCCGATTTGAATTTGAGGTGTCTGATTTCTTCCTCTTTGGGTCGCCACTTGGTTTGGTGCTGGCCATGAGGAGCACTGTTCTGCCTGGACTGGATGGTAAGGTCTTCCTGGGGTTAGAATTCAGGATGGGTAATGACCTTCATAAACACAGACTCACACAAAAAGGATGTAAATAAAGGAGCCTAGTTAAATGCTAGGGAGTGAGGTAAATTTCCTCCTTTAAAAGATGGGAATATTAATGTAAGTAGGTACTGAGATGATGAGGGTTGTTCCAGGGATGTCACTGCTCACCCATTTGCAAAAGTGTGTCTTTTGCTCTGCTGTTAATCATATATTCCATGTCATACAACATGAAGCTCACACTTCACCAAGGGCCAGTCCTTGAAAACAATACCAAAAATAACATCTGTGCTTGGTTCAGCATTACCTGTTGTTCGCGTCTGGCTTCACGGGTGAATTTGGCCCCTGGGTGTGTTGGTGTGTTGCTTGTGAGCCTATTATTCCTCTCTGGTAACAGAGCCTAGGGATCAGATGCATAGAGGATTTTTTTGTTTTATTTCTAAAACATCTGGATTTTTTAAATTTTTCAGTTAAAGTAAAAGCTTACTTTACTTTTCAATATTCACTACATGATTTGTCTCTTTGCATGGTATGAGCTTGGGATAGCACAGCACCTTCATAGGAAGTGGTACATTCATTTATCAGGTGAGGGAGAAAAATCCATTGCAACAGTGAGAAGAGGCAACAATTCAAGACTCCAGATTTTTTTTTTCTCGCCAATAGCCCTTCTTTCCCCAGTCTCAGCTCTGGTACCCTCCAGACACTTTGACAGGAAAATTTCATGTTAAAAACTATTTTCTTCAAATTAGCTCTCACTGCCATCCTTCCTCTGGTATCCTACAGGGAGCATGCTTTGAGAGCAGCTCAACTGACCGGCATTTCAAACACATTCTGAGGTGAGCAGAGTCTACTTGAAGCATAATTAGTCTTTAGAGGTACATATGATAAAAGAATCCCATTTTAAAGTTCAGAGGAAAACAGACAAATTGAAAACTACCATGCAGACAGCTAGAAGTTAGTTGAGAAATCAGATATCTTCTTCACTGAAATGAAAGGTAGAAAGCTACCTGAAAATGTGACAAATAAAATTCAGATGTTTTTATTTATTTGGCTTGTTAGAATCAGTTTTTAAAACGTAAGGGAAGAAAATTGTATCTAGAGGTTTGCCTGTTATGTTTGCAGAACAGATGCATTTTGTTGTGTTTTACTTTCTGAATATTTATTTATTTCTACACTAACAAGACTGTGTATAAAACCAGATTTTCATTCTATTTTTTTTATTTCCTTGCCAAATACCTTTTCAGTTTCATCTGCTCAGTATTCTGTTGGTCCATTAATCCTTCCTTAACAGTTCTTCTGTTTACTCTCTAGCACTGTCTTCTGTGGTCCTCTCACTGTGTAGACTCAGTTCTTACTGTCTAAAGCACAGTTTGCTGATTATCCTTGGAAGAGGCTTGCTATCCTCTACAAATCTCTATTCCCAATAAGTCATGAGCATTTAGTTGCGTCCACAAAGTGACCCTGTCCTGCCTTGGGGTGGTTGCAGTGGTTTGGGGTGTTTTACACTTGCTCTCAATGGGAACTGATACTGCTGAATGCCACACAAGTAGGGAGTGAAGTACTCAGCTTAGCACTGCAGGTGTCAGACATAGGTACAGACCTCAGAAATCTGACAGAAGGCCTAAACTAGGAAGAAAATAATTTCAGCTTGCATGCATATATTACATTTTTCAATACTAAACATACAAAATGGAAAATGTCATCTGGTTATTAGCAAAATGAAATCTTTCTCAAATCATAACCTTGCCTACAAATGCAAAACCAGAACACTTCAAATTATCAAAAGATTTCATCTATATGGGTTTCTTCAACTGAAACACATAAAGGATATTAAATACTTTGCTGGACCTGAAACAGGCCAAGTGAAGCCTCCATGCTTCAGTTTTACCCTCAGCTCAGCAGCATTGTTCCCTTAATGGGCACAGAAAATCTTACAATCTCAGTGAATATAAACCAGTGTGTTCACTTGATGCTTGGCTCTATCAGCTGTAAGCCTGGCTTTTGCAGGCAGCTTTAGGAATGACAGTTTCAACTGTGTCACGTCACTACTAATCTCTAAAACTAATCTTTACTTGCCTGTGTATAAGAGAAATCGCAGCCACGTAACCTCTATGGCAGATTTGAAAACATGTCATGCTTGCATGGAGTTCATAGGGAGAAGACATAATTATCTCAGATATATTTTATAAATAGTTTAGTCATTGCTTTACTCTTGTAGTTAATGAACTGACCATTGTAACATGTAATGCAGTACTGTACAAACTGTACTAAGTTTAATGAGCCCGTAATGAATTGATTTGATTCAGTATGATTGAGGTGTGATTTGGTGAAAAGCGACTACACTGACTTACAGACCTTAGCAGTCTCGTGTGATCACCCATCTGAGTATAAGTAATTTTTCCGGGCTGTGTGTTTAGTCAAAAGTATGTCTTATTAACTGAGTAAATGATTTAAGATTTGCATTCTCAGTTGTAGCCCCAAACCTTCAGGAGCTGCACACCTTTAGCAAAAATCATAAACATTGCTGTGCTGTTACAGTATGACCAACCTCATTTCTATATGTGAGCATCCATAAGGTGACTGGAGAAACTGCACTGCTTTCTGTCACCTACCTGCTTCTGCTGTCATCTAGGTTTAAGTCCTCTGGATGTCAGAGGCCCAGCAAACCATTTTGCTGGTAAATATTTGAAGTGCTGAGCATCACAGCTGTAATGCTCAATACCATACTTACAGGATTTTTAAACTTCTTTTTCCTTCCCTGCTTCTATCTGTTTCTTTGACTACTCTTTATATCTGCTCTCTGCCTGCATCTCAGATTGTGATGTCTCTGTAAACTCGTGTGCAGTCAAGTGTTCTTTACATATGAAATAGGAAATGAAATAGGAAACAATGTAGTTAAATTTCTTCTGGCCAGATGTATGCTAATCTGGAGTTTGCAGAAGACCATATTAACCATATTTCTGTGTAGACTCCTTGAAAATCATAAAGGGGCGATACTGAACTCTTTGTCTCATTCTCATCCAAGTGTGCCAGGTCCGACCAGCCTGCAGCCAAGTGTACAGTTTCTTTCACTCTGCTGACCCCTCTGCCTGCAGACTTGAACCATTGCTGGAAAAAAGATTCCATCTTCTTCCTCCATTCAGTGTCCCACGGTACCAGAGATACCCACTAGGGGATGGAAGATCTCACCAATTAGGTACAGTGCTTGTTTTCATAGCTCATTATCTGTTGTTCTCTTAAGCATTCTCTCCTTCCACAGCTCAAGAGGATTTGAGATACCAGTGTGCTAATATGCTAAAACCAAATCATCTGGGACTGAGTGGCACAGACACACTTAGCAAGTGTGGAACCAAAGAAGATTGCTAAGAAAAAAATTATCGTATCTATGAGATTGATACTAGTTTTGTTACAGAGCAGTTGGAAGGCAATATCACTGTTCTAGTTAAAGTGTCACTTGAAAAATTCCACGTCTTTATTTTAAACAATTTCTTTTTACAATTAGTTGTAATAGATCTTTGCCTAGATCTTCAGATATTGTTTCTGTTGGTCACTTTAGTTATGTACTAGGACAGATCAGAGCACTGAGCAATCTTGATTGCTCTCCTCCTAGGTGAGCTACTAAATAAATAATTATGTTGGATAAAAATGGTTTGAATCCTGGAAGAAAATGGAAATAGACTGATTTCTGGGCAGGAAGGAGGAATACATGGATGAGCAAGATGCTAGTAGAAGGAGTTGTGCTTTTTTGACTTTATAGAAAATAAGATAAAATCATATAGGTGTGAAGTATCTTTGACTTGTCACGTTCTGCAAAAAAGGAATTTGTATCTGTACATGCTTGTGCAATAGATTTATTCTTTTTGCTACAGATTCAGACATAAATTCAAGCTTCAACAGGATATTTTAAAAAGTTTCTCAGGATTTGGAGTTTAAGATTGGAGACTAATACAGTAAAATGGCAATGTTTTCTATTTGTTGGAGCTAGAAGAACTGTGTTTGGGAACCTGTTCTGTGTAGTAGGGTACAACAATGCCTTTCTTTTATCTGCTCAAATATGGTGTACATCAGATGCAAATCAGTTTGAAAAGCAGCAGTTGATCTTGAGTTGCAGAAGGTTTGTTTCTAGTTGTTGACTTCACTGAAATATGTGAAGATGTGGCTGTTCCTCATTAATTGATTTGAGGGGTAGCTAAGGTGAGGGACAGTCCAGACTAGGGAATATGTGCTCTCTTCTCACCCCCTGTTTCTGAGTTTTCTTTCGATGGAAATTCATACCCTGCTTTGCTTTCAGACTTGCTGTAAAGCCTGACTGTGACCTTGGAAATCCTGCTGGTTAGTTAGGCACAAATTCGGTCACTGAGATATTGCTAAGGCTGTCTTGAAAAGCTGAACCTTCCTTTAAATAACTGTCATAGGAAGAATAGTTCCCTTAGGCTCTTTTTCAAATGGAAAACCTTTTTTTGGTAGATTTTACCAGCTTTGCGGTGTTAAGGTAACCCCTTTCAGTGATTCTTGAAACAGAGGCTTTAGAAGTGGTTTGTAAACTCCTGGTGTTCTCTTTGGGTTCATCTAAGGCACTGAGTCAGAAGATTCCCTTACAAAGCATGAAAATCTGGGAACCCTGTCTGTTGGATGTGTTATAAAATAAAAATTCCTGAGTGCTAATGATCAGCAAATGTTCCGTGGTATGGTTTTGTATTTAAACTTCTACTCAGAGTTAAATCATTGCTCTTCTTTACACTTAAGATGTATTGTATTTCAGTGAATGTGAAATCCTCCCATTTAAATGCAAGCACTTTGAGATCCTTAATGGAATTTTGGGTTCTTCATTCACAAAGAATTAATTCTAGTGACTGTATTTTTTTTCCTTATTTTTTTCCTTTCTCTGATACCTGGGCTTGTGAAAGTAGTTCTTAAAATGAGAGCTTTTGTGGTGTCAAATGGAGTGGTAGTTTACTAATCAGTTATGATGAGACCTAGTTAGACCAGAGTCTAATTATTATGCACTGCCCGAAACAGCCTTTTCTGATAATCTTTCATATCATTAAACAGTCTCATTCCCTGTTCCTTTTCCCCTGAGCACTGATGGTTAAAATAAGAGTGATTCTGCTGTCTACCTGATAGATGCCTCCGTGAAAAAATAATTCTGATCTGGAAAGTACCTGACAAAAGATTTACTATTAGAAGAGAATTTCACCATATGATTCACAGAACAGTTTAGCAATAACAGAGGCTGGAGAACTTGAAAATGGGAAGGGGGGCGGCGGGGGAGGAGAGATATTTCTATAGCTGTCTTTCTGTTCTTGCCAATCAAATTAAACTCTTGGACCCACATGCTCTGTGCATAGGGTTTATCTTCAAGGTTTTATTTTATCAGATTTACTTTTTCTATTTTGATTCAGGAAACATCTAAGGCAGGACTTAAAGAGCAGGGCACAATTTATCTAGACCATTACCTTCTGTGTCCAGCAGGCATCAATAATTATCACTAATTAGTGTGTAGTAATTATAGTATTTTTTGTGTATGTGATAGATTGAATTATTAAGAGCTTAATGAGGATGAAAGCTGACTCTTCCCAGGTTTCATTTTGACAGTTACAGAGACTGGACTAGTTCAGAGAATTATTTCTCTTTCTGTCAATGACTTGGTCAGTTCCAATTCTGTTTCCTGTTGCTGCAGTTCCTAAGGTGGATATGATGCCGTTATTAGGCTATTGATAAAAGAACTTAATAAATTAAAATTATTTGAGGCATGATTTAAGTTCAATTTTCTGAATGTGATATACGGACAAGTGAAAGTAGAAGAAACTGCATTGAAAGCACAGCCAGGCACACAGAGCAGGGGGAGAAAACATTTCCCTTCCTGCTCTTTTGTCTGTGGTGATTGCTGACGGAAGACATGGCAGGAGGTAATGGTTCAGACAAAAGTGTGATCTGTTAACTGGTGAGGTTCTTCACTGTAAGTGCAAGGTACAAATTCGGGTTATATTACAGCCAGAGAAAGCCACACTGTCTTGACCCTTCATAAACAGCAGCTTTCTTAGCTGCTACCTAATTGACAATTTGTAATCAAAGTGCTTTTGTTGCTATTATAAGTGAGCCTTAGCTTTGTGACAGGTCTCTGATTTACCACCACTCGTGTCTTTTGATACTTACTAATGTGTGGGATTTAATTCCTTGTTTTGCTTTCCTGCTTATGACATGATTCATTGTATCTACTTTGGGGTTAAAGATATGGTTGTTATGTATTGATTCAAAACACCTATTTTCAACGTAGCGTACTTTTTAGACATTTGACATAGCAGGAGGTACATAATTATTATCCTCTTTACTGTTTGAGCATCTACCTCACATTTTACTTTGTGAGATAATTGAAATAATTTATTTATAAGGAATATGCAGGACTGCCAGTCCAGACTATGGCTGATCCAACTGGTCTGCTTTATTATGGATAAATAGAAATTAACATCTAAAAGCACAGTACTTCTCCAATTGTATATGCATAAGATAAAGTATTGTTAATTTTATCCTGAGATAGTTACTGTGTGGCTTTGACAAGTTGTTTTGCCACATTGTATTAGCTGTAACTATCGTAATTATCCAGGATGAGACTCTAAAATGACTTGCTTTTATTTTATTTCTTATCAAGCATAATAGTAAATTTAGGTTAGTGGGACAAATTATAATCTTTAGTCACTCTCAGAGGCATGAGAAAGGTTGCTTTTTTCACCACAAAAAGTGTATAATACTGCCTCATCTTGTGAGATAAGTAATAAGCGTTATATTTCCTTCTCTGTTGGTTGTGTTGGAGTCTTTATAGTTTGCCTGAGACAAGGGAAGTCATAAAAGTATCCTTGCATTCTTTTCACCTGCATCAAGCTTCCCTGTAGCCACACATAGCTACGCTACATGTCAGCAAGGTTCCTTTGAAAGAACAGTACACTGTAGTTTCTTTAGTGAAAAACCACACATTCTCATGGAAACTGCAGTTGAACATATTCTGTCCAAACTACATACCCATCACAAAATGTTAGAATTGAATTGTTTCTTTGATTCAGTTGCAGTGCAGCTCCCTGTGTTGTCTCTTGCAGTTGAGATATTAAGGCTTATGTCAAAACAAGCCAGAATCTTTCTGACCAAGTCTCCTTTTTTGAAGGGAGGAGATTTTAGGGAATTATATTGCTATTCCTTTTCATTTAATGATGAATTGTTTTACCAGTTCTGATAATCTGTAGCCACTTAAGCTTCCGGGTTTTTTTTGGAATTATGTCACTGAAAGCAACAACTTGTTATTGTGTCCTTCTGTGTGCACCATTGAGGTATTAATTGCATTGAGAGTTGGTAAGACTTGAGAAGTTGCAGAGAAATTTATTCCAGGCTTATTCCATACGACATATTCCCCAACCCAAGACCACCTGAAAGATGAGCACAGCAATCCTACAATTATCTGTCTGAACAGAACCAGAATTCACTCCGAAATAGAGCAATACATCATCCAGGGCTGTCTGCTTTCTTTGTGTTCTGTGAATTGAACTAGATCTTTTTCTTTTGTTCACTGTTTTTATCTCTCCAAGAGGTTTATTCTCTGAGAAACAACACTGAGGAGTCAGCTGCTTTTGATGTGCACTTTGCTATATAACCTGTGTCTCAGTTGAGGAGGAGTATGCAGGCTGCTTCAAGCAAAATTGTCAGTAATGCTTTTATTTAAATCTATGTCTGTTCTTACACGTTTCAGAATACCTCAGGAGGAAGGCTGTGTTTTGTTTCATTGAGTAGAGGTATTACTCTGGCTTTGTCACAATGGCATGTATAAATGCGAATTCTGTTCAATTTGGGAATGTGCAAACCGGTAGATAGCCTTGCTAAAGATTCTCTTTTGAAAGTCATTTTGCTTATGTCAGGAAGAGGACAAGAGAAGTATCACAGACTCCCAGAGCTGTGTAGTTCTTCTTAGAAAATTACTTTAAAATGGTTTGGGTTGAGTGCCAGAAGCATTCCACTGCCAGTGCACTTGGATGGCAGGAGAGTGTGCTTTCTCCATACAGTCATGCTGTTTCATGCTGTTGTCACGTTGAAGGACGGAGCTTCATTCATGGGCATTAAATGTGATATTATTCAGGAAAACGATCACTAGCTCTATTTAAAAACAAATTAATAAATAAACAAATATATACATGAACACATGAACACTAATTTCAGAGTCATGATGTTAATTGCTTCTTTGGTTTTGTTGTTATTTTCATTTCTGTAACCTGCAGGTGATGCTCTCCACAACCACAGTGCTCTGTTCCTTGAGAACAGCTCTTTGAACATACCTTTCTCTCAGGAGAGTTCTGGATCTCCAAATACATCTGATCAACCACAAGGGAAAACAAGAAAGTTGAGCTTGGCCAGCACAAACAGTGAAAACTCAGGGTCAACAGAAAGCTTGCCATCAGCATGCCTCACCAACAGTGAGTGAAGCCTGGTGCCGCGTGCTGTTGGATGTAGCAACAGCCCTTCCCTCCACAGCGTTTCTGTGAAAAAGTTTACTATGAAAAGGAAAAGTACCTGGAAGTTTGGGGAGAAAATTTTATATAACACAATTTATCTCATCTCCCTTTTCTGATTGTAATTAAATAGATAAAGTAATAGAAGTGCAGTCATAGTTTTATAGTAAGGTGCCACTCATAAACAGTCATAACAGTTTCTAGGTAACAGGGGTTTCCAATTATGTTCCACGCATGAAGCAATATAGATAGATAAGATTTGGTATCTATAATTAAAAGTGCTACAGATCATTATATTGTCCTGCTGTGGACTGTAGTTAGGTAGATGGACAGATAGATAGATATTCCATTTACTATTTGGGAAGTAATTGCAGTTATGATCGTAAAAGTACTAGTCTTTCACTGTACATTTTCCATGGACCAGGAAGCAGTGGGAATCATGCTGAGGTGATTTCTGGTTTCCAGAACTTGGACCCAGAAGAACTGTTTTGATTGCAGACAGTTAAGTGATGATGCAGTTAGTAAAAACAGTACTTTCATGTATGATAGATACCTTCAACAGACTCTAAATGTCAAGATAAAAAAGCAAAAGACTTAAGTCAATTATCTAGCTGAAACATAAAGATAGCAAGAAATTTATTAAGATATATAAGCGTGATGCTATTTTGTTTCATTTTTTGTAGTTACTGCAAAGTGGTGGGGAACAAAACGAATAGATTATGCCTTGTATTGTCCAGATGTGCTGACAGCCTTTCCAACGGTGGCCCTTCCGCATCTCTTCCATGCCAGCTACTGGGAGTCAACAGACGTTGTGGCTTTCATTCTAAGACAGGTCATTATCGTTTTATTTTTTCTATCTGTAGCAGATAGGCTTGTGATTTTTAATTGCATTTTCCAAGGGTCGGTCTTTTAATCTTTAGTTCAGTTAGATGGCTAACTGTGTTTGCATCACACTCAGCTGTATGTGGGAATGACAGATGCAGATTTATTGGAGAGGTGAAGGGGACGATGAGCCCACCATTAGCACTGCTGACTTTGTGACTGGGAATATTGCACTATTATGCATACCTTACTTACCACTCCTGTGCCCCAGATCATTACAGCCCTGTATTATATATTAATTTCCTCCTGTTTTTGAAGGAATAGGCTATCTCCAGGCTTACGTAATTATATATCTCCCTACTAAATATCATATCATTAGCATACACTTGATAGTAAACCAGCAGTTTGAAAGTACTGCTTCTGTAAAAAAATTGAGTCTCTCCTTTACAGGAGTGTTTTGAGGCATTGCGAGCACTGTCTCCTCAGAATTTATTTCTGAGTCGTACTATGGGTCTGTTTTTCTTACTGTGTCCATAATTAGGCATCAGCTCACAGTCACTTACTGAAAATGCAGTACTCTGATGTATAGAGAAAGGGACAAGACTGAGAAATCTCACCTGGGCTAACAGAAAAAAATGAAGTGGTGTTCAAGTAAAACCTGCAGAATAAGCGTTCTTCCAAGAATCCATAGTAACCCTCACACGAAAGCCAGACACAAGCAGTTTAATTTGGATTAACCCAAGAATCAGTCTGGGTGTTTGGCAGATGTCAGTGTGCATGCCACTCTCACAGCTACTTTTAGCTAGTCTCTGAGTGTGAACTCCCTCCAGCTCCTGTTCCCAGTGCTGGTGTCAATGGTGTTAGTTCACCTGGTAGCTCCGGGGAATGAGATCTCAGAGGCTTAGTTCCCTCCAGCCCAGAACTGCTGCTGGGTCAGACAGTGCAGATGTACAGCCCCTGTCTGTCTGTGGCATGTGAGTGGAGTGTACAGCAGATCATCTGTCTGGTAGCCAGACCACTGGCAGAGGTTTTTTTGATTGCTGCTTTTAATGAATGAAATTAAGATTTCTTCAACCTCTTGCTGTCCTTTCAGACCATCCTAATTTAAAAAAACTTTGTTTGTAACTAGTGTCACCATAATCAAGGCAAAGCAAAAGTCACTGAAGAGTTTTTCCATGAAAAAGAACAGTTTCCAAAAGAGGAATCTTATTTGATGCTCGTCCCAAAGTAGAGGAGCAGTTTCTACTACAAGCGACAGGATGCAAATCCCTGTTTTTTCTGACTGAGAACCCTAGACAATAGTACAGAGATGTTTCTCCTCACCTTTGCAACTCTCTAGTAGTGCTTTTCTTCTTAATAGCGCTTTTCTTCTCTCTAAGGATGTTTTTTGCATTAAACCCATCAGACCTTTCTTCCATCTTTCCTTTCAAGTTCCTTCCTTAGCCCAGTTGTCTGTTAGCAACCATTCCAGCTGTATTCTACATGTTATTTTTGTGCATTCCTATGAAGTTGCATTGTCATGTCTTTCCTAGCCTTGTATGTGCATTGCAGCTTGTAGAATTTCATAAGCCCTTCAAGCATTTGCAACGTACCTGTAAAGCAATATGTGAGCTTACAGCACTACATAAAGGACTGGTTAGTTACAGCAGCACAAGTCTGGACCTTCAGCCCTTGTTAGGGCTTAAGATTAAGGCTAATGGTTCCTGAATGCCCGGTGGGGTGCATATATTTCCTGCACATGACCTCCACTGAATACAATGCATGCCAATTTGTTAAAAGACATGCTGACTTCTCAGCATTACTGTGCTTTGTTGCAGCCCAACAGCTTTGGTAATTCTGAATGCAGCAGGATTTTACTCAAGGGAATTCATATAAGACATCTTTTCAAATGATTCTAGGCCACTCTTCTAGCAAGGGTGCTCAGAGTGGAAAACTTTAGCGCAGAAAACCAGTTGTTCAACTTGAGAAATTTTCTGCCAGCTTGTGAAAGAGAGAGACTAAGCTATTTCTCATTCAAGATGAGTATCCGTGATTGCAGGGTGGAACCCACAGATTTCAGTAAACAGGGCTTGTGGTTTCAATTGAAATGTGGCATAACCCCCACCCTGATCCTGAATTCTGTGGGTTGTGTCCTGAAATCTGAGTTGGACGAGCACATTTCTTGGTAAGTGTGTGATATTTAAGTTGTAAGAATGTGTAGTTTGTATAACATATTAGAGTTCTGCATGTTCACAAGCTGGACTTCAGTGATCCTTGAGGGTCCCTTCCATCTCAGGATTTTCTATGATTCTCTAATTGTCTTTGGATGTTACTACCCCCAAGCCAAATCCTGAGGCTATCAGCTACTGCAGTGGTGAGTAATACCCAAAAGGTGATAAGAACCATTCTGTCTGAGTAGATGTAGAAGATCAACAGAGATGGAGTCAGGAATCTGACCTTTGCCACATAAAGGACATTTAAAAAGGCTTCTGTGATCTTAAACTACTTTAGTGACTTTGCAGACCATAAGAAGACTATGTGACTGTCACTTGATACCAGCCTAATGTTTTCACCATTTTCTCTGGAGAAGTGTGCAATCCGTTGTGAATGGAAAAGCTGTTCAATAAGTATTTAAGATTAAGTGTTGGCCAACAGAGTGAAAGCAGTTTATTTGACTGTACAATTAATGGGAGCATATGGCCTGTATGTCTCACTACTTCCATTGTGCTTTTGGCTCCGTAGTGTCATTCAGCTGTAGCAGCAGTATAATTTTCTCTTTCTTTGCCAAGTACTAGGACTCCCCAGGCCACACACTATTTATTAAAATGTTAATATGATTTCAGGTGATGAGGTATGAAAATACAAATTTCAAGGAAAATGACAACCTGGATCCAGAAACACTAAGTCCCTCTAATCCACGAGAAAAATGGCTACGCAAAAGGACACATGTCAAATTGAGAGTAAGTTTAAATCTAAATATATCTGTCAGCCATGGAACATGGGCTTGGCAGAAATTTAAATGGAGTTTGATCTACTGGATAAAGAGTTTACATAACTGAATATTACTAAAGAGTAATAACCTCTTCACTTAAATCTAGAGGCAAGCAAAATAACAGTTAGGGAATGGGAACAATTTACTTTTGTTTATCGCTACCTGTTGGGAGAAAGAATATTTCTTTAAACAACTGATGAATCTATGGCACCACTTGAAGTGAAAGATAATTTGCATTCACTTAAATGTTCTCTCTTATTTTGTTGGCTTGAGCACTCTCACTAGAAAGTCTATTCAGGAACCCACCATCAGTGGAAATCAGGCTCCAGCTGAAATGGGAGCACAGTTCTGCTCAGTGTTCTCAGGTGCAGTGATGTACCTCAGACACACTGTCCAGGACTGTGTCACTGATCATAACATAATAGAGAGAGTAGCCTCATTACAAAAGCAAACACTACACTTCCCACCTTCTGCTCTTATTTCAGAATGTGACTGCTAATCACCGAGCTAATGATGTCATTGCAGCAGAAGATGGTCCTCAGGTACTAGTTGGGCGCTTTATGTATGGACCTCTGGACATGGTGGCTTTAACAGGCGAAAAGGTGAAGTCTGAGTACTCAATTTTCTCATTTTGGTAGAAACAGTTGTTCTATGTAGCACACGTATAGTATCAGAGAAAGCCTTACAGTGAGGAGAAGTACATCACTAGCCCCCACTACTTCAGCAAAAATATGCTCTAAGTAGGCTTTCCTGAAAGCTGACTTTTTTCTCAGTTTTCACCTCTCTTACCTGATGCTGGCTATCTCCCTTGGAGTGTGCTCTGCAGTGATTTCTGAACCTGCCATCCAGTTGTACCACCTACTGGAGACAATTAACTCTCTGAGCAAGGAGGAAATTTGGTTTGACAAACCACTAAGGGAAAATTGTGTATCATCCTATCCAAGTAAAACAACTGGATAAAGGAATAGGCATTCTGGGGGCTGCGTGGCTATGGCTTCTCTTATACACAGGCAAGTAAAGATTAGTTTTAGAGATTAGTAGTGACGTGACACAGTTGAAACTGTCATTCCTAAAGCTGCCTGCAAAAGCCAGGCTTACAGCTGATAGAGCCAAGCATCAAGTGAACACACTGGTTTATATTCACTGAGATTGTAAGATTTTCTGTGCCCATTAAGGGAACAATGCTGCTGAGCTGAGGGTAAAACTGAAGCATGGAGGCTTCACTTGGCCTGTTTCAGGTCCAGCAAAGTATTTAATATCCTTTATGTGTTTCAGTTGAAGAAACCCATATAGATGAAATCTTTTGATAATTTGAAGTGTTCTGGTTTTGCATTTGTAGGCAAGGTTATGATTTGAGAAAGATTTCATTTTGCTAATAACCAGATGACATTTTCCATTTTGTATGTTTAGTATTGAAAAATGTAATATATGCATGCAAGCTGAAATTATTTTCTTCCTAGTTTAGGCCTTCTGTCAGATTTCTGAGGTCTGTACCTATGTCTGACACCTGCAGTGCTAAGCTGAGTGCTTTAAAATATGAAGGCAATAAGCCTTTGTGTTGTATGTTAGGAAGCATTTGCTAATTGAGGGGGCCCCCTGTGAAGTTTTTACTGAGTTTTGAAGTTCCTGCAAAACTTCTTGTAAGCTTTTAGTATCGGCCATGGTTGGAGATACTAATATGATCTAGGCTTGACAGGCCCTGCAAATAGGGGGTGTTTTGCTGATTATCCCACTAGATCATTGTTTGTTGTTTTTTGCAGGTGGATATCTTCATAATGACTGAGCCATCTTCGGGTAGGTGGGTGTACTTTGACACAGAGATATCCAACAGCAGTGGCCGGATATCATACAACATACCTGAACAGAAGAGACTGAGAGTTGGTGTGTATCCCATCAAAATGGTGGTCAGGTAATAGCTCCAAGCTGGAACTAAAGCTGTGATCAGGAAGGAACTTAAAAACTGAGTAAAAACTTCTTTGAATCCCTACTTTGGAGATTAAATCAGTGGGGCAAATTTAACTGAAACAGAATGTGTTGTTACCCACCAGATAAAAAGGTCCAAAATTAGTTTACAATCTTATGTAGTGCTAATTGAGCAGGAGAAAATGTTTTACCTCAATGTAATAGAAATTCAAGAAAAGAGAGTTACTAGAACACAAATTAGGTTGTATTCAGAAGTGAAGCTTTAGACTGCATAAGTTTCAAAGAGGAACAAAAGAAACAGTCCTGGTTTTGCTCGTTAAGCTATCAGCACATATTTTAAGAATCTGCATCACCAAATATAACTTTCTAGATCATACAATAATATTTCTAAAGGAAAGAAAGTGCGGTTTCCGATTACATTTTTTTAGGGAACATGAGGTGGTGGGATGGGGAGAGCTTTGGATTGCCTTGTGATTTATCCATTTTTTGACATGCAGACCTCTTGGGGAAAAGACATCGTGAGGAAAAGATTCCATTTCACGTTCCTTTCCATGCGAAGAGCCCTTTATGATTGTGTTGTTTTGGGGTGGGCTTTTTTTTTAACTTTTCTGGACTGGCATTCCCATTGTAATTTGCAATGCTAGAGGGATAGCTCATGCTTATAATACCAACTGTTTAGCTTATGGAGAAAGTTTGAGTAGTAGTTAAAATACTTCAGGCTGGTTTGGGTTTTTTTCCCCTAATTCTTTTAGCTATTTGTACACGTGTGATTTCTTATTGACATTAGCTTCCAAATTTCTCTTTGGAAAACTGTTTTCTAAAAGTGTAAGTTTTAATTGCCCCATTTAGGACTGGAATCAGAAGCCCTATTTGACAGTGATTTTTAAAGCTGTAGGTCCAGACAGAACTAATTTCAAATATTAACTAGAACTTGTAGAAAATACATTCTGATATTTTGCTCTTTAAATGAATTTATTGCTTTGACTCTCCAGAGGGGACCAGAGCAGTGCTGCAAGTTACCTGACGGTACTTCCCCGAGGAATGGAATGTGTTGTGTTCAGCATTGATGGTTCATTTGCAGCAAGTGTTTCAATTATGGGAAGTGACCCCAAAGTCCGAGCAGGGGCTGTTGATGTTGTCAGGTGAGGCTTGAACGCTAACTCTCTGGCTACTGAATACAGTAGGAAGGAAAAGGGTTTTTTACTTAATAAACAGCAATTCCGTAAGGGCCAAGATTCTTTGCAGATACATTTCTATATTTGCTTGGACAGCAGGTCTGCCTGATTTTCAGAGGAATCCTAGAATGCTGTGGATTACTTTGAAATTTGTTGTTTAAATTGCCTAAAGGTTAAAAGTTGCTTCTCGGGAATATGGCCTTGAAGTGTGTGCAGTGAATTAATAATGATTCCATGAGTATTTTGTGTTTCATTAACTTCACATAAGGGCGTACTTGTACTTTGGAAGTATCAGGTGCCGCGAATGCAGGAATGTTTTTTGGAGGCAAACTAAAAGCCTTTTAACCCATTCTTGCAAGTCAGTTATGTTGCACTGGATGGGGAAATGCAGTTCTCATTTTGGAGCCTCCATGGGAGTGTAGGGATGTCAGTTTTCAATGGTTTCCCTTCCTTAGAGCTGAAATGGCAGAAAATCTCATTAAAGGTTTCAAAGGTAGCAGGGCTTGATGTGTAGCAAGGTCTATTCTAATTACATTTTTAAATAGCTCTCATATTTTAGATAATATTTTGTATAAGAGTCTCTCTTGCTTTCCTCTGTCTCCCTCAAGGTGTAGACAGTATTACTTAATTGCTTGATAGGAGCAGAAACTTACGCATGCTGCTCTTCACTGGTTGAAGGATAACATCCAACTTCTAACTGGGCTAAGAAAAGATGCTGATCTGACCTGTGAGTATTGTTTCTCTTCCTGCACCTACATAATTTGCCTGCTATTTCTGACAGGCATTGGCAGGACCTGGGATATCTGATTATCTATATCACTGGCCGTCCAGATATGCAGAAACAGCGTGTGGTTTCATGGTTGTCTCAACACAACTTCCCACAAGGGATGATCTTCTTCTCAGATGGACTGGTTCACGACCCACTGCGACAAAAGACCATTTTTCTCCGGAATCTCATGCAAGAGGTACTAGAAACCTATTAATAGCCTTAGAACCTCTTTCCAGTGAATGTCATTCAGTAAAGTAAGAGATCTCCCTTCTTCCTGAACAGTGAATCTCACTGGTCATCACAAAGTCTTTTTGCCATTCCTCATTTCTTTTTTCACTTTTTAAAGAGCAAGGAAGGCTGATAAAACATCAAAGGGACTTCCTATCATGATAAATAAATAAATGAACTGCTTGGTTTTTCCTGTGTGCATAGCTGTAGTTCTTGCTGGCATGCAAGCAGGCAGATTTAGGTATCTGCAGTTTACAGAATGAGATTGTAACAATGAACTCATGTGCTGCTTCATTGCAAATCAAGTGCCAGCCTCGTAGTTGCAGGGTGTTCAAGAGAGCATTCACTTTGGAAGTAATATTTGTTTCAGTGCCACATCAAAATCTGTGCCGCATATGGTTCCATGAAGGATATTTCTGTGTACAGTGTCTTGGCTCTGTCACCATCCCAGATCTACATAGTTGGACGACCCACAAAGAAATACCAGGCACAGTGTCAAGTAAGTAACTCTTGCTACTCAATCAGGAAGTCCTGTGGAAGACAAGGAAATGCATGAATGCATGTGCAAACACACACCCCTCAGAGCAGCGACAGTGTTTCAAAGAAGGACAGTTTTGGGTACAAATGAGGCATTTTCTGGCAAGGTGAATGGTAAAGAGAATTGAGCAGTCACAGGTTGTATCTACAGGTGCATGCGTTGCGTATTGCTGAATGACAAAATGGAACAGGTCACTGAAAAAAACCTGAGAGGAGTATTAGCAGTCTGTAGGTGCCTAACTGGGGTGCCAAAGATCAAAACTTAATTCCTCATAGAGCTCATAGATTAAGGCAGCAGTAATTTGTCACTCTCTTTCTTTTCTTCCTATTTCAGTTCCTCAGTGAAGGTTATGCAGCCCACTTGGCTTCGCTGGAGTTCAGTCTCCATTCACGACCCAAAAAGAACAACTCTCGGATGATCTTGAGAAAAGGTAGCTTTGGCCTCCACTCCCAACCTGAGTTTCTGCGCAAGAGGAACCACCTCCGCAGGACTATGTCTGTGCAGCAGCCTGACCCACCTTCCTTGAACCCCAAGCCAGAGCGTGCCCAGAGCCAACCTGAATCAGACAAAGATCACGACAGGCATTTGCCCTCCATTGCTTGGGTTCGAGGTGTTCACAAATTTGAATCTGTTCCCTAGGAAGATTGGGAATGTAGATCTTGGGTGCACCCCATTAAACTTGTAGGCATGCCTCAAAGATAATATTTAGGCAGCTCCAAACTAAGAGATGTAGACGGGAACCTGTACCTCGGAGTCTTCCCTGTTCTGAAATCTGCCTTCTTATACCAAGTGGGGAACTTGCAGTTTGCTCCTCTTGTCATGTTTATTGGGAGATTTTAAAAACAACCTACAACTATTGCAAGTGGTTACAACATCAAAGCAAAAGGAAATATCTTTGATTATTTTTTACAATATGTGCAATAAGAGAAAGAGCTAAAGCAGGCTGATTTTACTCAGAAGAAGGGTTGTGGTATGAGCTAACTAGCTGCATCCAAACCAGTATAAAATGGTAGGCTGCATAGGTTACAGAGAAGGTTTACACTTTAAATAGTCCTATCTGTTTCCACTTTTCAGTAAAGTGGCACACTTGCAAGGGAAGCAGAGATGAGAACTACAATAACAGGTGGTCAGAGTTTGTATAACAATATGCTTTTTGGGTGCTTTAAGCCCAAGATTTCCTTTCAGCTTGCAGTGATGGTAAACAGACTCCAACATCGGCACTCATGTTTGTGTGAGGTGCTGGACAAATAAATAAGAACTTCACTTATGAACCAAATTATAAAAACTTCATGTTAAAAATAAATGTGTCTGCCACAGTTTGAAGCAGTTAGTGTTGCTATAAACAAATAATGTGCAACTGTACGAAGATCACACTGTTTTGTGGAATTTGGTGACTGTGCAGAAATGTGTGGACTACTTCGGTAAGGAGATGGCCTTTGCCCATCTCAGTCCGAGAGTCAGATCTTAAGAGGGTAAGCTAAAAGCAACCCTTTTACTAAGGGATCTGCAAACTCCAGGGGAATCTTTACACTGGAGGAAAAGAAAAGTAATGAGGTATATCGGTGAATTGTTTACCTTCTCATGCTTTATAGCAACTGCTGTGTTAAGACAATCTGTAGCATTCAGAATTACAGCATTTGAGCTTCAGAGAATGGACACACCAAATTACGGGTGCCAAATAGACATTTTTCTACAGATTTAAATTTCTATCTGATCTCCCACTGGACTTACTAGAAGTAAAATATGTGACATTTTCCTTAAGTAGTATAAGTAGTAATATTTCTGAAGTGTTGTAGTTAGTTTAACATAGTAGCAGTTTGCAGATTCTTCATGCAGATACTTCCACTGAGAGAAATTCATCAAGAGAACTTTCATGACTGAATTGATGCATGTTTTAAAACCTGCAATGAAGTTACAAGTGCACAAAAAAACCCCTTTTTTAAAAAGTTACAAGACTATTGACACCGAGAAAGCTCGAAGTCAATAGGACATTTCTTTTTCAGGTTGGTTTGTTAGTTTTTAATTTCAGGGAATTGGGGTGGAGAGGGTGTTGTGCCTCTCCACTCCCCTTTCAGGTTTTTGTATACCAGAAACAGTCTCTCAACAAGTTGGTTAATGATTTTGATAGTTGACGGTAAAACAAGTAAGAAATGCGATGGAAAACTGTCAAGACACTGCAGAAGTAAACCTAAGTCTCTACTCCCTGTTAACCCTAAAGTTTCAGTGTGCTTTTGGAAGGGCATAGGAATGCAGCTTTTGACTTAAAAGGCAACAAAGGGAGATCAGATATTTTCAGACATAACTTGGCAAGATTGTCAGTTATCTATTTCAAACTTCCTGAAATATCTCTGGCACATCAGTAATTTTTTTTGGTGTAATGCATCCTTTAAGGGAACACATTAAAAAGATTTAGGAAAGATGTAAAAAGTTTGGAAGTTCACACTTACTGGGAGCAGGTAAATACATTACAGGGGGATGGGTTTTTATGCTGTTACCAAGTCAGGCAGCTACAAAAGCTGAAGGAAAGATAATTCGCAAACTACATTGAAAGCAGTCTTCAGGTTTACAAATGCTTTACCAGGAGTATCACAGTTCCTTAACCCACAAAATAGGAGGAATTATTCTGTGCTCTGTCTTGGCCCACTGTGTGTATTAGTTCTAATCACAGAGTCCACTTCTTTTTGTGTGCTCTGCTCTAGGAGGACATTGCACAGGTACACCAGACTCCATTTCCCTCCAGTGACTTCACTGTTAGCAGGCTCCTGCTTCTTAGATTTAAACAGGCATGGGAGTACAAGGCTTGTGAGTGAGGAATTCACTAGGCAAATTTCAAGTTTGCTGAGGGGACCTAAAAGCAACATTGACTGATCACAAAGTTCATTCTAAGCACTGAATGTTTCATAACAAGTCTTCTGATAGCAATCACTGTTCCGGCTGCTAAGTTCAAAGCTACTGTTGTTTTAACCATCTACCTCTATCATCCAAGAGACTCCAAAATCTGTTTTTTGTTTTAAGTTGTTGTAGTAGAAAGGTTGACTTCTTTTCAGAAGAGAGATCTGGGTGTAATTCTGTGACTGTGACTGTACTGAAGGAAATAAGTGTCTGAGCACAAGGTTAGAGAAATCTAGGTTTCTCTAGAAAAGGCTGTCTTTTACTCTTGGAGACATAATGTCATTTTGCAGAGTACCATGTCATGTAAATTCTAATTTTGTGTATTTTCATTAATGGCTGGGTCACCTTGTCATCTTTAGAGTAGTCAGTGTGCTGGCTTCCCTTAAGAATATTACAAGTGTATAGCAGTAAAACGAATACATGTGTGTGCATGTGATTTAGAGTGGTAACAGTTTCAAAGTTTCTACATGTGGTATTGAAATCAAGCTGAAAATATTTTCCCTAACTTTGTTTCCATACAATATATGAGAACTTAAGTGGCATTTGCATAATTCCAGCACTGCTTATTGCTCATTGATAGAGTTGCTTTATCTCCTGATCACATGCTCCAGCTGAGCACTTTGGCAAAACAGTGATACAGGCATTAGCTTGGAGGTTAAGGCTTCCAGCTAATTAGGAACTGATCTTCTGAAACATCAAATGCCAGGTGCATTGGTTTTGAAAGCACCAGCCAGTTGCCACTAAAATGGTAAAACAGCTTCTGTTGGAGCTGAGAGCATGAACAAGGTGATTGTGATTTTAGGCATCTCAGAACTAGACTGGCAGTTCAACAGATGTTCTGTGGCAATAACTGGAAACCTCATGCATGTTGAACAACTAGTTTTTCATGGGATTTTTTGGTTTTTTCCCCCCAGCTATACTTGGGGTAGTCCTGGGTTTGCCTAATGAATCTCTAGTTTTATAGTATAATTATTCTATGTTTTCTCTTAGAACATTCCTTTGTGGTCAGAATTTTAGTTACACATTTTGTCCACATGAAACTGCATGCAGTGGTTCATGGGCATTCAGCTTGCAATTGGATTTCAGTTTTACCTGTGTTTTCATGGAAGATCAGTCCTCCTAAGCAGGCTATTTGCTAAGTTTGAGCCTACAGCCATCCTATTCTCTGATTGCAAGTCCTCATTGCTGCAGTGTCTGTGCGGTCAGCACTTAAACTATGTAGGCTATGAAAGTGTTAAAGCACACACAGAAGGGAATGGGACAGAGGCTAAGGTGGGTGCACAGGGAACATACAAGACTCATCAGTTGTTTCAGCACCTTTAGTGCCTCCAGTCTGTAACAGAAAAGCACATTCTTTTAACCTGCTGAATGGAGGAAGCATAAATGAAATTGTACAACACAAAACTGTTAGTCCAGTGGGTGCTAAGGCTGCAGTACAAGTCAGTGCAAAGTAAGCCACCATTGGAAGCATTTACTTCGTTGTCTTGTTGATATGGATCCATTTTAAATTACTGTAAAAAATGGCTGTGATTAATAGCAGTGGTAGAGTTATCTGAGATATTGTAAAAACACACCTTCACAACTGTAGTGTTTTGGTTTTGTCTGTGTGTATGTGTGTGTAGCTACTGGAAGACACTAAAGTTTTGGTTCTGCTTTCACAACAAATTTGTAACCAATATACTTAAAAAAACCCAAACAAACAAAACCAAAAACCAACAAAACAACACCAACAATGGCTGTTTATTCAGTTTTGTTGTCTAGTTAGGTAAGTTTGGAAAAAGATACCATTGTATAGAATGCAGACTATTCCACAGACCCAAATAGTGATGTTGGTCCAAATCTGCTTATTTTTAATAACTTGTTTGTTTGTTTGGATACACTAGTGCTCTTGGAATAGATTCTTGCTTGATCAGAGTATTCTTGTTTAGTTTTGTGGCATGGTTTATATCTATTCAGCATAAAATTTTGTTCGCTGTAAAAAGGACACTGTTGATAACTCTTGTTCACTGGGGTTCATGAGAGCTGTCATTTTGATTTGTTTACATTAAACTAGTCTTAATTTTTACAGATTACTTCACCTGTTCCTCTAATACCTAGGGAAGTGACTTCTAAACAGCTAAAACTTTCACTGGCTATGCAGAAGTGGAACTATCAGTAAACTAGAGAAAAAAGATCACGTACCTTAGTCTACACAGGACAATGACACTTTATCCAGAAGACCCACCATTCTGCAAAATTGCCTTTGTTTGCCAATTTGTTGGCAAACAGTTGTTCTGTTTATACATTGCAGTCTTTCTTTATCCAGGACACTTCTAATGTGTGTATTTAAGCAAATCCCCAATATTTAGCTCCACAGTATCATCACGTACTTCATGGAATAAATTTGGAAAGGGAAAAAAAGAATTTTTTCCTGTTTTCTATATTGTTTTGTGTTTTTAATTTGTAAAAACTTTGTTTATGAGTGTTTTTTAATAATACCTGAAACCTAGGTATTTTTAGGTTTTTAAATTTTTACGTGCAACATTTGTTACTGAACAAACAGGATTTCCCCTAGGGTTTTTTCCCCTCTTGTCATCTAAGCCATAAAAAGGTGAGCACGTCATAATAGTACTAGATAACTGGAGCATGGGCACCTTTTTGATAAGCTCATTGGCTTAAAAATGGAGAGAAGAAGAGATTGTGCACGCTCATTTCATCGTTTTTCTGGTTAGAGATTGACATGTGGAATCTGAACATCAGATCTCTGCATTGATTTGTTCATGTCAGGCTTGCAGGGAAGAAAGTGGTACTTTCCATCCTCATCTGGAGCTGGTACAGGATAGAATTCCTATAGACACAAAACTTTCCAGTCTCTAGCCTCAGCTTCTCTAAGAGCAATGATTCCTCGTGGTCCTTGTTCACAGCTTCAGCAGAAATTGTAGGTTTGTCAAGGTAATTAAGACTTCCATGATGTTTAGTCACTCAAGTTAAATATAGGTTCCTACAGATGATCCTAAAGGCAGACCCACTCATAAAAAATGGAAGTAATAACACATTTTCTGGATGAAAAGTTTTATTTTTCAGACATAAGAAATGGCCTGGAGCAGCTAGAATCCTGTGCCATGGATTCTGGAATTGAAGTCAGATGTTGGCAATTCCTCTTTGTTTCATTTTAGTTCAAGCCCAACTTACAGGGATTGTTACAGATTACCCTCTATTTGTATTTATCTCATTAAGCTACCTTTGAAACTGGATTGAATTTGGGGGATTTGGGGAATATGAAACAAATCCGACAGTTCATGTAACGATGTACAGAATTTATGAGGGGAAAGAAAGAGAGAAAGGTTTACTGTGACATGCTAGGGGATGGTATACTAGAGATTGCAACATTGAAACATGATTTACAGATAGCAAGTTTGAAAGGTAAGGTTATTCCTTGATGACTGGTGTACAGCCCAGAATGGCAGTCCTCTCACAGAACCCCAAGCCTTCTGCTTAAGTTATTTTTCTATTTGTGGGGCAGAAAAGGGGCAGTCCATTTACAACTGAATTCATTCAAGGAAACTTGAAATTGTAGGTGTTCTTTCAGTCTGTAGTTTTATTAAGTGCATACTTTAAATATTGTTTGTCAGTGAGAAGGTTCTATCTGGTGACAAATGTTTATATTTCTTATGGCTGCCTTGTAAAGATCAGAAAATGTACAATAATGAATTTCTTAATATGAAATCAGGAGTAAGATTTCTACAACTGCTATAGATTTTGATGTGAGCTGGTTTTTAAAATCTTATAACAGATTACTCACTTAAATAAAACTTTCCTTGCCTTTAAGCAAACAGTGTCACTGATTTTTCTTACCAGTGAATTGGGAAGTATTAGATCATCATTGTACATGTCCTAGTAGCTGTTGGAAACAGTATAGAGGCTTCCTGATACATGTGTTTGAAATAATACTTAAATTGGAGGTTGACTTTTCACAAAACTCCAACCCTCCTTCCTTTTCAGAAGTCATAGAAGGAGGTATCTTGGTAATGAGTCACCATCTTTGTGAATGCTTTATAGAAGTAGTTTCAGAACACCCAAAGAATATATGTTCCCTATAGAAAGGTGGTTAAAAAAACCTAAAACCAGCACACAAAACATACACAAATACTACATCAGGAAATCAGGATTGAATACTTGCCATATTTATATTTGATACCATTAAAATTTTAGTGAAACTGGAACTGAATTACATGCACATCTTAAACATTATCAAGTAGAGCAAAATTTTCCAAATCAGTCTGTTGTTTGAAGGTTCATCTTAGAGTGAATGTAACTGGAGAAGCCTGCACAAAGCTGCTACCACCTAAACCAGCCCTGCTGTTGAATTCCAGAAGCTTGAGAAATCTTTGGTTTGAAAGACTAAACTTTGTTACACTGAATGACCAACCAAAAAAGGTTTTTCAAAGGAATGTTACTTTTTTTTTTTTAAGTAACTAGAAACAAAAAAAATAAATGCTAAGTATGCATCATCAAATAAAATACCTGCACTGAGATACTGGCTACTAACAGTAGCTATAAGAGGTTACATTAATTGTAGTAACAATTTCTGCATATAACTAAAAGACAGATGTTGTAGTACAGAAGCAATGTTTAACAACTGCCAAGATGCTATTTAAAGCAGTAGTAGGAAATTACAAAATTGCTCTGATTTGTCTGGGACCAAACTACCTAAGATAGGATTAGTTAGACTAATCTAATAGCAATCCTTAAGGCCATGAATTAAGAGTCCTAATGTGGCTTTTCTCTTGTGGTGTGAGTGACTCCACAGAAACCTATTGCCTTAGAATGGCGGTTGTGGTCAAAACTTAAAGAAGCCACTATTGTTTTATTAACTTCCAGCTAAACATGATGCTTAACGCTTAGTTTGTTTATATATAAAAAAAATGTTAGGCTTTCGAAATAATAGACCAAACTCTTTTGTATGTAAAATACTTGTGCTAAAACTCATGGCAATTGGATACCAGTCTAAACACTCCTCTTACCTAGGATTACCCTTCATAAGTCTGTAGCCCTTGCTTTGGCCATTCCTACTGGTCAGTTCAACATCAAAGTACTTACTGCCTCATGAAAGTCACATTCAAGATGGTTCCCTCATCTCAGCAGGAGATAATACCCTGTGGTTGGTACCACAGGTACCAACTACAGTTGAAAAGAGAAAGCAAGGGAAGTCCCGAGCTGCTTTGTCAAGGAAGATTATAAAATGTAGTGATTTGTTTAGTGTATAGAGTGCACCCTTTTGGTGCTACACAGACCTCTCATTTATATATGCTTATAAACTAATAATAGTTACAGTCTCTGTCTAGGTACCAAGTGCTTGATGGAGTTTCTTTGCTTGCCTTCTGATAGCTTGAGAAGGTTTCAGGGATCGACACGCAGAATGTAAGTTTTCTGCCATTAGATAGTAATAGTTTGATGTTGCTTGTTGCCTGCAGAAGAACAACAACAAGACTGCCATTAGCAGCATCAAGTCAGTAGGGTTAATCAACTGGTGGTCACCCAAATTGCTGGAAAGCAGATGGAAGCAAGGAAGAGGTCTGGTATCTGTACGCTTGCCACTGTGTAACAGCTCTAAACAGCAGCAAGAAAATATTTTGTTCCCTTCAGTGAGCGTAAAAGGCAATACACAAAATAAGTACTGCAATACTTTAACTAGCAACAGGAACATTTCTTGTGATATAACCTAATTCATTAAAATGAAAAACATTAGAAAAACACATGGAACTGGCAACTATCATTTGAGATCAAGGTTTGTTTCCTCCTGGAAAAGCTGAAAAGGGAGCTCTAGCACAAACTCAAGGCAATTGGATACCAGAAAAGAAAATCTCATGCAAGACTAAGGGCACCTCCAAAAGAGTTAATTTCACAGTTGATACAGTAGGCAGCCTACAAACCAGTCAGTGAGAGAGCACATTGGATGCATCTACCCATGCAAGAGAACTGGACCAAATTACTTACTGGCAGCAGAACACAGCCCTGTTCAAAGTCGAGCATTTGAAACTGCTTTCATATTTTCTTGAAAAGTTACAGCAAACAGTGTCTTACACCTATCTTTGTTGCTAAAGTAGGACATCCTATTTAAGGATGTAACTTTAACAAAAGGAAGACTTACAACATAATGAATGAAGAAACTAATGTCACAATACAGATCTCAGTGAAGTTAATTAGAGGCATTTACCTGGTAATGGTCCAATGAATTGACACTAGAAGTGATGTTTAAAAACTGACAACAAATACCTCCTGTTCCCATCCCTTTGGGTAGGATTGCTGTGTTTAAAAGTGCCACCGATAATTAGCAACTGCTGTTATTGTGATAGCACGGTCTTAACTGCTACTGATGGAGGGATGGAAAAGAAAGGCTGTAAATTCAGACAGCTCGGGATAATAGTTTGTTCTGTCATGCTTTCTGACCTTCATTAGTAATCGGTGAGAACTGAGCTAGAGTGACAAAAACATTAGTACCAGTAGTTTTCTGGTCTGGGATGAGAAAAGCTGTTGTTTGCATAAAAGCCCAGCTTATGGTTCATTGGAAACCCACAAGGATTCATGAATCCACAATTTAGAGGTGAAATTTTAGAAATGCACAATGATCAGCTGTAGCAGAGACAGCCACAGTGAATACCAGGGAAGAACCCTGTGGTTCCACAGAACACTGCTTTAAAGCAGCATGAGTCTATAAGCCTTTTTCTCTCTAAACAGCAGATTTTCTCCCCACAGATGCATGCAGATATAGACAGGGTAAGTGAACAACTACTTTACCTGGTTGCTACTATCTTCAGTTACGAATGAGAGAAACTGTCATATCGCTAACAGATGGAAGAATATTAGGAATGAGATTTAGTGAACTTTCAACGGATATGATAAAATTAACTTGATACAAGATTTAACCTATAGTTATCTAGATGTGGTCCCATTGGGAAAAATTGAATTTTTGGAATTATGTAGGATTTTAAGTCCTAACCTCTTTGTTGATAAAAGTACTTGATGATAAGCCCTCTCTAGAGACTTTGAGGTGCTTGACATCAAGTGTTCTAAGAGAAAAAGAGGTTTAGGGAATCGCCCTATGACAAGACTTCTGACCTTTAGTTTTTACTCTCTTAATGTCTAATTCAGAATGATGTAACCTTCACAAATACAGCAGCCTACCACCTCATGGATTAACCAAGGTGTTTTATAACAGGTTTCTGCATCTGGGTACTATGGATTGTTTGTTACATAATTCTACCTAATAAAAGGATTTTTTGTTATAAATGTGCAGGCATCAATAATTATGTCCGCGCACTGGAATTTCCCCACCTCCCCCCCAGCTTGCATTGGCACTCTTTTAGACAGAGGCAGGGAGGTACTGCTCTCACACAAGGTCAAAGGTAGACTCTTGCTGCAAAAAATCTGATTTCCACAGCAAGATACCTGAAGACAAGGAGAGCATCTGACAGGTTTTTGAAGCTGCAAATTGTGGTAGTTTGGTCTGGGCCTTCCTTAGTGACCAGTATGTAACCAAAGAAGGGCCTAGATTTACCCAGTATTCCCTATGATTTTTACGTAAGCCGGGCTATAAGAAGAAAGGAGGAGAGGCCTTCGCTCTCTTTCCTTCCGGCGGCTTGGAGGTGCAGGTTCCCTGCTGTTGAGTCTGTCGGGTTGGGGAGCGAGGCCTGGTCAGGCCTTGCTGACCTTGGGAGGCGGAGGTTGCCGGCGATCATTCCAGAGCGACTCTTGGTTGTCCCAAGGAGAGTAGTGAGATATTTCTTTGCTAACCTTTTTTTAGTTGCTAGATATTGGGCTACTAATCGGGATATATATATATATATTCTATTTTGGTTTTGTTCCTTTTCCCTTCCCCCTTCCCTTTTGAAATTGTATATATATTTCAATTGTATATAATTGTAACATAAGTGTAAATATATTTATATATATTGCTTTAGTTGTCTCTCCCTCGTTTCGTTTTTTCTTGGTTGTTTTTCTCCCTCTTCTCCCTGAAGTTTGGAGGGGGGGGGAACTTCTTGTGGTAAGGTTTGGAGACTTGGCAGGGAGCCAGCTTCAAACCATATCAAAATCCAACTGCAGATTTAATCTGCTCAGGTATCTTGAAGAAAGAAATTATCTACTACATTACACCTGAGAAAGTTCTGCAACTATTCCTTATCCTGAGTTACAGGGACGATTGCCAATGTCCAAGTAGGAGGTAACCTGTGCCAAAAGTTGAGGGACAGTTAACAGTATTTACCTCTCCTCTTTCACAATAGCATCATCAAATGCCTGGGAGATACGCTTCAGTTGGCAAATCCCTGAGGAGACCAGTTCCAACTCGCAGTCACATTCCCTGCAAACAGAATCATAATTACTAAAGATCAGACAGGACAGACTGACTAGGTGACACTACTCAAGCCTCTATCCCTGCAGTACCACTCTTGTTACCTCCAGACTTTACCTAGAGGAGTTTAAAGCTGTGGCAATCATGCTCATACTTTCACTGGCCAACTGCTTCGCATTCCCCAGACAGCTATCTTCCAGTTCAGACACAGGATTCAAATTCAGCTTCTAGCTTTGACCTTTCTTGTGACTGACCAAAAGAAAAACCTATGCGTGCATTATGAAGTATTTCCCAAGCTCACAACCCTTGATCTAATTTGTGTTAAATCTTTGAGGCAGGAATCTCTCTATAAAGAATTCAGTATAAGCAGAGCTATTCCTGGTATCTTTGCAATACAAATAGCAACTCTGGAAAAGTTAGAACTAAGTAGGAGTAAGATGCATAGAGAGCATTTTTCTTTACTTGGGTAAAGAATCAGCAAAGAATTCAGGTATGTCTGTAGCATCTTAGGGGCACTTGTGCTGAGAAACATGGTGCAAACTTACCCAGTGGGAGAGGGATTTTTAAAAAGTTCCTGTCATGGGACAAAATTACTTTTTACGTTTCAGCTTTATGCAGTTCTCAGTCTCTGTCTATACAGGGACCTAGAACTACCTTGTAACTATTCAAACAGCCCACCCTTTCAGGGGAATAGGATAGCAAACTTCATACCTTGCCTTTTACCCTACCACATACCCTAATCACAGTAATTTAAAAAAAAAGAAAAAAAAAAGGAACAAGGTTTACAAAAGAATATGACTTACATCTTTCTGGCAGGAGCAGGTGATGAATAAGGGCTCTTCAGTGCTGCTGCTCTTCTTGATCTCCGGAGAGAGACAGCATTTTTACCAAGCCAGGATGAGAAATCCCTCCGTTCTCCATGTTCTGACATCCTTGTTGGCCCAAGCAAGGCCCTTTTGCTGGACCTTGGGATGCCTTTGGAACTGACTGCTGGAGTAACAGTCTTATAGCAAGGGGTTTGAGGTGTAGTACTTTTTTTCTTGGTAGAACTTGTCGCACAGCTTCTGCTGATGGATTCAGCTGGAAAGGTCACCATTGAGTGTACTGGGCTTTGGCAAGACTTCTGTATTTTCTGAAAGAAGCATAAGATACATTAGGCTAAAAGAACTCAATTAGCCTAGAGTTTAGAACCAGAAAGACAAGGAACATTTAAGCTGAATTCCTAACTTCCATTCCCATATCAGGTTTTCTCAACCCTCTGTACCCATTTCTTTGGAGGAGTCATTTGCTTCCCTAATCCTTAGCACTTGTCAAGGACTTCAGAGCAGGCATCGGAACAGAACTCCTGCTGCTCTTATGCTGGAACAAGCCAGGCTCCCTAACATATAACTCATGCATTTAAAAATCTCAGGTCTCCAACAGGTTTTGTCAATCTGAATTTATACTGACTATAATGAAGAACTATAATAATTAGTATGGGTATGGGAGAATAAATAAGAAAAAAAAATCCAAAGTGCTACACATTTCTCAGAAACAATTCTTTGCAAGCAATGGCAACCTCTAGCCAATTTCCTCCTTATGAAGGCTGCTCTGCTATACATGATGAAATAGAGTAGAGGAAAAGCATTTATTTCATGCTAAAATAATGTTTTCACCCTCCTCCATATTCTGCCAGATCCATAATTTGACTGTCTATACTTTAGGAAAAGATATTAAAGATTTTACAAGTTAATAGCTATGAGGTAACCATTAAGGTGTACAAGTGTGTGAGAATGGACTCTGGAATACATGTACAGAGTTCAGAAATCTTAATACTGAAGTTGGAGCAAAAACTAAACTCTATCCACGTTCCACTGCAAAGGGAAAGTACCTGGGACACTGTTCCAAAAGCATTTTTTGCTGTTCTTTTAATAATCTGAAGAGTTTGGCACCTCTGTCCTGCTTCCAGACTTTCCCTAGTTGGGGTGTTATGAAAATTCAGCTCTACTCGCTTTAATGGTGCTCGTTTCCTTAGAGACATGCAGATGGTATTGAGAGAACTCAGAGCAGCCTTTCTCTTGAATTTGTCAGGCACAGGGCTCTCATTTTCATCAAAGTCAGCTAGGAGCTGGTGTTTCTGCCAGGCCATTGTTGCTTTGACATTGTGGAGCACAGATGCCATCTTGTTCCAGTTCCTGGTCAACCTTATTTCTAAAAGAATTAAAATGAAAGCAAGGCTTAGACAGAGCAAGGTACAAAGTAGTGTAAAAACAGAAATGGAAACTGTTACATACAATATACTTGATTACACTTGCCTGAAACAAGAAAACCAGAGCTGGGCGGACTTTTACTTGGGCTTTTACTATCGATTCTGTAGCATTGATTTTTACAGGTATTTAAATTTGTACAAGTCCATGAAGAAGCCTTATACTGCATTTCCAGTGCAAGACTCAAGCTTGTGAGGTAGAGTGCTCTGTAAGTGCAACTTTTTTGTTTGTGTTTCAGACTAAGATCTGGTATCCCAAATTTTTGCTTTCTTTAATCAAAACAACCTTCCACTGCCAGACAAGTTTACACAGCTGCTCTTGTCTCCTGCCTGACTTGCTGGCTGAAGGTTCACGCTTTATTCACAGTTATGACTGTGGATACATAAGTCCTGAAATAAACAGGCAGAACCCTTCAGTGGGAAGGGCTAAAATGCTAGCTATCTATATGACATATAACAATTGAAACATGCATACATATTTTAACTTCTTCATTTTCACTTACTATTGAGGTAGGATACCACTAATGATTTACTTCTAAAAAGCAAGTGAAATGCAGATGTATTTTAGCAATCTGAATTGAGAGTGAATTAATTTTATCAATACTTCATTGCAGATCATGTTAAAAAAGCTGGGAGGTCTCTACCATCGTTATACCACTACTATGCTGAGTTATCTCCATCTCTCACAAGCGTCCTTATTCGTGTCAAAAAGCAATGAGGCTTATTGAAAGGTTGTAATCCTGAAGGTGTTTGGGATATTAACACCTTTAATTCATTCCTGCATGTGGCACCAGGAAGAGCTACTAATCGAGCAACCGCTCAATTCTGACTAGCTCGCAGCTGATCTAGGCTCCTTTGGACCGCCTGCCAGCTGCTGCTGCTCAATTTATGCCGGCAAATACAACTGAGGTGAAACGCCCTGAAGGGAGCAGCTGCCGTCCAGGGTACACTGATCTGTTATGAGACAGGCACTGCACAGGACAGCGCGGTGGTTCGGTTAGTCCGGA